TTTAAGGCTTACCCCTAAATCCGTGTTTGACTACACAGATAGATTGAACATTTATTTAAATCACATTTTTATTTAAGTTCCCTAACAAAAAAGTCCTACCCATAATAAGTATTTTCTATGATCCGTAACTAAAATAAAACTGTAGTTCAGGTAATGATTTCATTATGGTATTGATTTATTTTATTTTCTATGATTTTAATATTTTGTAAATGCAAAACTATGAATCTATTTTCAAATCAACAAACTCTTTTGGTCTTGATTAATATTTTCAATTTGAACGTTTTATTCTAGTTTTAAAATAGATTTTTTTACAGTGTAGTCTCTCCCGCTCTTTGGAGCTACCGAACTGCTGCTCCATTTCGCTTCGGCTCTCGGGATCTTGCGACTGAAACGGGATCCCATGCCATGTCCGCCTCCAAATGAGTTCCGTCATCTTTGACATGACGACGTGTCGTATTAATCATTCCCGGGTCTCTCGCCCTTTCTCTCACCGCATAGCGGGAATTTCCCAGCCTGGCGGATGCACTGCAACCGGGTGGCGGAGAGAGAGAGATCGGCTGAGAGTGGCCATCTTCAAGCGGTTTCCTCGACCGCTCTTGCGGTTAATTTAATTGAGTGGTAAAAACCGGCACCCATGCGGAGAAGAGTTCCTGTTTGGGCCGTGAGAGATGCCAGCGGTTGGTTCTTGGCGTCGTGTGAATGGGCAGCCCAGTGTTGCCCAACTCTCCATAATTACACAAAATTTGCATACTAATTGGAGTGGCATAAAACTAATCTGATGGGTATTAGCTTTTTATGGAGTGTAACTTGTGTTTGTGGACACGTGGTTTCATAAAATACATCATTTTTATTTTGCACGAATTGAATGTGTAAGCATTAATTTATTGTTTGAATATCTTTTAAAAATCTTTGTCAAATTTGTAGACACAACACTGCCTAAAATAAAGTGTAATTTTTTGCTATTTTGACAAAATGGTATTATAAATATTAACATTTATTTTGTTTAGTTTAAGCCCTTAGTCATTTTTTGTTACCTTTTTTAACAACGTTCAAGCTTCTAAGATATTCAATCATTCACAGATTAAGGTCTGGAACAATTAACCATTGTCCAGAGACAATATTTTATGTCAAGCTTTGTATGAGTATGTCGACAGCTCACTTACCTTTATGGCCCCATACTAGCCTCTTCGATCTTTGTTCGAATGTCAGTCAATAGTCAGAAGTCGTCAAATGCAGCTGTGCACATTAAAATCAATTAAGATTCTTATTTATCTTCGATTTGAGCTGAGCTTAAGTCAGGCATCTAGCAGAACGGGCGCATCTATAAATATTTATTATAGCCAGAGAACGATCGAAGCTTAAATTTAACACGCATGGAATAAAAAACACACATTTTTGTAACATTTGAGTGCACTTTAAATGTTCTACAGTGAAAAAGAAAAAATGAATTGAGCATGCTATGCTCAATCGTTAATAAAAAATTAAAAAAAAAAAGGTATTGACACAAGCATAAGTTGAGAACTCGAAACTCCAAAGCAATTCACTTAGATAAGTAATTAAATTAATTAATTTTTATGTGCTGCCGATTGTCGTTGAGTGTTGATTTATCTGTGCGTGCAATGAGGCAACTAGTAAATGATTTTTTTTTTGGTTTTGCGATGAGGCCTTCCATGCGAACAATTTGGAGTTGACTAAGTTCGATTAGTATCTGCAGCTGTGGGCTGTTTATTGATTCAAAATTGACAATTATCCACTTAACGTGCAACAATAGCGAAGAAAGAACATTTGAGTAGAATATATAGACCTCTGACTCCGACAAAACCTTATTGCTAGTGATTGTTTTCTGCATCGTTTAATTTGTTTTCCATATCGGACTAAAGGGTCTACAACTTCGACATCTAAAAATACTTAAAAAAAAGAGTTTATAGGAATGATTTCTAACAAAATTGCAGCGGATGTTTATTTATTATTAAGTATACGTTTATTTTTAATAAAATGTAGCTTTGTATGCTTTTTGACTTTGTATTTTGTTTGCTGTCTGAGGCAGATAATTATTTAATGATTTCATTCAAAAACTATGCTGATTGTTTAGTTTTTTACACATATAGTTTTCTAGTATTCTAAAAATGTATAACCTGAAGTTTCGCAACACAAAAATAGACCAAGTTCAGTTTGGGTCCAGGGCTGAAAATTCGAGCACCCCCTTGAAGATTTAATGGTACTACCAAGCCCAAAACACTTTCGGCCTCAACAGCAATTACGTGTTCTAGACAAGCTCTCGATCAGCTATACAACAATTTACGCACGCAGAACACAAAAAGTGGAAGACAGCAACAATGATATCGCATTCCTGCCATTAGTATCTTGCCCACAAAAAAAGTGAAGGGTAAAAAAAATGAGCAATAATTTCAGTGTTTATGTGAAATGGTTGGCAAATATTCGAGCCACATTAATAATTAATTTATCTTGCTCAGCAAAATAAAACACAAAATAACAACAATAATTTTAAATGGCTTAACAACTTTCACGGCACAAAAAAGAAAAAAAAAACAAATTTATGAGTGAGGCACGGTTACGCATACCTCAAGTAATTGATTTCTTACAGCTTGGATTTCGATACAATTTCAATTTCAGCTACGAGAAATATCAATTTTAATGGCTTGCAAATCGAGAGCGAGTGGATCGAAGGTCAGGCAAAGCGACTCGACAGCGACAACGACAACGCACAATGCGTCCAAATAAAAATAGTAATAGTAATAATAATCGGACAGGTGACAATAACAAGAGCAGCAGCAGCAGCAACAGCAACAAAAACCAATCTGAGCCCCTTGTGAAGCTTGTGTCGGCCCACAAAATGGAACACGCGCCATTGAAACCGACAACTCAGATTCGCAGCAAACAGCAGTTGGAGTAAGTCAAAGTTAAAGCAAAACGCATTAAGCATACGCACTGTGTGACGGCCGTTTTCTGAACGTAGCACCACTGAGCTTGGGCAAATAAGTAAACTGAATTAACTAGTAGGTAGCTGCAACTAGTAGCCATGTTAGCTTAGCTTGTTAGCAAATAGTTTCAGCGCGGAGCTGGTAGGTCTCGTAAATTAAGTGGATTTTCTAACTAATTGGATTCTTTGATCTAAGTTGATTGAATTAAAAAAAAAACATTGCCCATTAAGGGCTTGCTCTCAATCCAAAATGAGTATGGATAAGTGCATGTAAAATATATTTTATTTTATTCAAACAAAAACCAATCAATGTTTGCTTTTAAAATATTTTTGATTAAAAAATATATTTGAATCTTATTGTCGAAAATTTACTTCATTAATTTCAATTATTGATTTTTTGTTTCAATGTTTGCAACATTCTATGTAGTCTACATATATTTTAATTAATCAAAAACCAAGCTTACAACTCTGCATTCAAAACGCACATAAAGCACCCACACACGTTTCCCACACTTATTAAACTAACTTAGTGTTTAATAAACGATTAAGCGAAAAATGAGTTCGAAAAGTTGAAGAGTCCAAGTCCGAACCCATCCCATATCCATGGCAGTGCACTGAAGTGCGATTCCAAGGTGCACTTGTGGCCCACTCCCAGCTCCGACTAAGCGCCCTGTGTGAACAAGTGTTGTGGCGAATTCGTTTCCTCAATAGAGCTTTTCGCTCTTATGTTCAATTACTTGTATTAACCCATTAACACACTGAGCTCATGCCTAACTATAACCCAAGCCGGGCAATCATACAGTGTACCTAGTAAGTAAGCAAAAAATTAAACAAGTTCCCTTTCACTTGCATCTCATATATTAACGAGCGATGTTTCGTGTGCCATCTATGATATTTCTAATGCAATTTTACCATAAAAAGCTTCCCAGAGCAACGACAGCCGCAGCCGACTTCTAAAAAACATCTTAATCGCCAAAGGCATTCCGATCACCGGATCTCGGGTAGGAAAAAGAGTCGAAATGCCAACTGACACACACCGAGCATGCGTACGTGATTTTGGATTTAATTAACTGTGGCTTGGCAACAGCAGCGCATTGTAGTTGAAGTTTCAGTTCGGTAAACTGAAGCAGGTGAGGCAGGCATTAAGTTAAAACTGAGGCATTGACTTTGGTAATGAAAATCCAGTGCAGTTCAGCCCTTCATGCAAGAATGCCCCAATTGAAGGATTATCCAGCAATACTTATCACTCTTTAGCCTTTATCTTTGCCGAACCAATCCCTACGTAGCCGTAGCCATTTCGACAATGTATAGCTGCCTGGTGGTTATTAAATACCTGTAGAATTTGCGAGGTTAGTGCAATAAATTTTAAAAATATATTACAGACCATGTGCCATCCACTTAATACCATTTGCGGAATATTACAACCGCATCACCGTAAAAACAGCCATTCGTGAATTTTTTTAAAAGGTGAACACTGCATTCCCTTTGCTGATTGCAATGTATTTTGGAAGTAATTTTTTATGGCATAAGCTTTTGGAAAAATCATTTTTAACTAAAGACCGTAATGACAATATTTTTTTAAAGTCAAATACATTTTTTAATAATTAAGATTTCTTCCTATATATTTGTTCTCTTCATACTTGATTTGTTAAACTAAAAACAAAACATTATTTATTTTTTTGATTAGTCAATTTCGAGTCAAAGTATTAAATTGGTTATTTTCCCCTTAATGCATAAGCTTATCAGAAGATGATAAAACTTAACTGGCACTGCTGAAAAAATGGTATCTTAAGGCGCCATATTTATTTAGCGGCCATGATTTTTAACTCAATGGACATTCTTCAAAAATGCCTATAGGTATGCTATAGTTTTTAAGGTAAGTGTAAGATTTGGTGTCTAAAGAAAAATATATTTCTTCATTATAAATGTAAAAAGTGGAATCACCTTAATTATAATTGTCTCGTCTAGTTTAACACATTGTCATGATCATGATCACATTAATCATATTAAAACCAAAAATATAAACCATGCCAATTTTGTTCAGATTTTATAAAATTTATATTCATAAATTCATATCACATGCTTAAGATCTTAGTGGCTAAAATAAAAATAAAAATACAAATAAACAACTAAAAATTGTCAGGTTTTTCAGACATTTGTAGCAAGTCTTTTATATTGGAATTATCTTCCAGGGGATATCGCCTGATCAACTCGGATAAAGTTAATTGACTCCTCTCATTTCTTTCAAAAATCTGGTTTGGACTAAAAATTTTGAGATGATAGATTAGAAACTCGTAGAGAAACATGCGTTCGCGGCTGGCATAATGAAAGGCCACAGAAAAATTGGAACAACATGTCAAGCCCTAAAATGTAATAAAGAAGCGATATAAACTTTTTAAGCATAAATCCATTTTAATATCAGGACTCACAGTTTCAACCCGAGAAAAACTCATCTGGCGCAACCATTGTGGAATTGTTGTATTTGCCTCCGACATATAGTTTTCCAGGTCCAGAGGCATAAACTTTGGCTTTGTGTCCCCATCTAAGGACTGTGATGAGTCCACAAAATGTACACCCACATTCTGCATACATATGCCCATGTAAAAGTCCTCGATACCCATTTTCTTGGGCTGTGGACAAATCACCTCAGATTCATAGGCCTGCGTCATAAAACGATTGAGGGCCTCACGACTCAGAACATAAGAAGCCCCGCCAGACATATAGCTCTGAAAGAATAAACATTATTATTAGCCATTATCAAAAATTATATTCCATAAACTTTAAGATTAATATAGCACACACCCCGTATTAGCTACCCAAACCTGTCCCACACAAATGGAAAATGGAAATGTTGAAGCATGAATATGAATATTCACATCAAAGACCGCGCAATATCTAAGTTATTCCAAACTTTAGTAACGGTGTTCGGTTTTTAACATATCAAGCCCCACCAACGAGATCAAGACGTATTTAATCCTATTTTGGAGGTTACTCAGAAGGGAATGATGTGTCAAAATACGCATCAAACACACTTGTAAACAAGCAAAGCTCACAAATTAATGAAAGTGAGTTATTGAATTTAGTGAATTGTCACATTTGTCTTGGGATTATGACAGATCATATTGCTGAAGTGTGTCAAATTAACAATTATTTTCATGTTTTTTATTTAAACCGAAATCCAAATACATTTTTACATTTTTCTACATATGCAATATTGATTTCTAATTTTCCTCTAAATACACAAGTAAACCGGCTTTCCTTCAAATTTTTCTAAGTGCATATAGCACCACATAAAACAAATGCATAATTCATAGAAGCATAAAAATATGTTAATTGGCTAAAAACCAAATATAGCAAAATTCAAACCAAAAGCAAAAAAAAAAAACACAGGCAAGCATAGTCAGGTAAAATAATCACAACAATCAATCACAAATCATTATAACATTTATGATGCATTAGGAATAATCAGCCTGCGATAAACTCCATTCAAAGTGTGAGATGAGCAGAAGCAAAGAAACAAAGAAGACATTTTAATATTTTAGTTTTTTGGCCAACCAGATGCGGGACCTCTCCCATAACTCATCTGTTTATTTATGTGTTAACAAATGTGCGCAGAAGAAAATTTGTACTTCGTCTCACGGGGAGATTGCACAACACTTTTGAAAATGTCAAAAGGCGAAATAAATCTCTGGCTGCTGCCCAAAGGGTGCGGCTTTGAAAGATGCGTGGCTGGTGATCATGATGACCTCAAGTTGAAGCACTGCCATCAGTCTTTTGCACACTGCAGTCAGCTTCTCTTGTTAATGGGAATTTAATTTCTTATTGTCGCTGGCACCGATTGACCTATGCACACGGAAAACGCCAAGACAAGAAGCGTTTGGCCCCGTCAAGATCTCGACTTTTCTGTATGATATCATCGTACCAATAATAAATTTAATGTTTGTTTACAGGGCAGGCAATACACAAAAAATCGCTATAAGTTATTATATGAGATTACACTCACAAAAGAGGACCGGTTATTCTAACAAAGAGCGTTTTGTTATTAGCACATTTCTTTGCCAAATATCCTATAAACAATTTGAGAAAGTTAAAAGAGCTTTCAGTAATTAACGAAATTTATTTAAATTATTTAGTGGAGCGAGCAATATTGAATACAAACAGTTATTGGTCATATTCAATTCCTTTATTATTATTAAAATTCCAAGTAAAATATTTAACAAATATATTTTACTAGTTTACTTCCCCAAAAACTTTTGTTCAACTGATTTATTGACATATGCAAACTATTTTCGCCGGGAGCATTTTGGCTAAGCTCGGAAGAAATAAATTTACTAGCCCCGAAAATCGAATCTTAACGCTCAACCCCGAATAGAAATTAGAAATTCAAATTAGCTTAACAAGCGGGCGACATTAACATGGAAGATGAGCAGTTAATTAGAAGCTAATGCCAGCGATCAACTAGATCATTTACCAAATAAATTTTATGTACAGAGAAAGAAAACATTATATTAATCTTCTTTAAAAAAAAAGCAAATTTAAAAATTTATTTTCTAAGAAAAATATTTTTAAAATTCATAACATGTATATTTTATTTAGTAAGGTTGCTTTTATGAGAGCATTTAATTTTAAACAAATACTATTAAGCAACTTCCAATATTTTTCATTTTGCAAATCACATTTATAATCGATTAAATCCATCAATTACCAAAACATGAGCACAAAGGCGGAAGTTAACGAGGAATATGTTTAACGTTTATCACTCACCACATTATATCGTGACATCTTGTATCCAAAGTAGACGGGCGTATCCGGATCGAAACCGCTAAGCAGGTGCTGCAGATTCTCCATGATCATATAACTGGGAAAAACCACATTAAGATAGGATTGATTTCGGGGAAAATCAATGCTTATATAACATACGTATCATCGTCCGCCTTGAGAAACCAATCGTAGTCGCGACCAAAGTGTTCCCAAACGTGGTGAAAACCCTCCCGAGTTTTGTTCCACAGATCCTCGTAGCCACCGCCTCCTGGCTCCACCACTTGGACCACGCCCAGTGGCTCATAATCCTCACTGCTGGCGAAGATCAGGCGACTGCATCGCTGACCCCAAGTATCGTGAACCGTGCGAGCCAAGTTCTCCACATTTTCCGGGCAGGTGAGCACCATGCAAAGTATTCGGTCAGGTGGAATATTCTGAATCCTGGCCGTGGCCGTGGACATCGTGGAGGAACTGCTCCAGCAAGGCGTCACCCTATTCACATCATAGACAAATAGGAGCAGCACGAAGGCCAATACAAAGCCCGCCATGAAACCCGTCAGCAAATGCAACTGAGATCGCAACTTAATCTTGGCCGTCATTATTCTTCTGCGCCAGCGTTGTGTTCTCCGCGACGTTCGATTCCCGATTGCCCACCAAACTAGCCGTTTTGTTTTGACCAGACGGCAATCAGCCAAAACTCAGTTGGCCAACAACCGGTTTGCTTTGTTTTCTTATCAAAGCTATCAAACATCGCCGATTCGGTGGGAGATTAGAGATGCCCATTGAAAAAATGTGGGATTCTGAATTAAGTTAGTTAAGAAATTATAATCTTGATGTTCCATTGCAAAAATTTTAATGTCTTAGACCACCGTTTTAGACTCTTGTTCTAATATTATTTAGTATTGAATTAATACTTATACTTTAATACTATCTGTTGTTTATTTTCAAGACACACCTCTTAAAACTAATCTTTCAGGTGTCTTCTTTATCAAGTGCCCTTAAAGAAATTAAATGGTTAGGATCCCAAAACTAATTAATTTATTTAAGTTTTTTTTAGAAATAATCATTGCTTTTCTTCATATTTATTGCAAATATTTGCTCTAGTTCTTATTTTTCTACTATCACCCATACTCGTAGCTGTATCATCTTTCAATATCGTGTGCGCTTACGCAGCATAAAAATGGTCACCAAATAAAAATGAAAGTGTTACCAATACATTGTACTGCCTTTTGGACAATGGTAAATCGACCAATTGGGGCGCATGACATTGTATAACGGCTCACATTGAGTAATAAACTGCAATTGGTATGATTTAGTATAAAAACTCCGAGTTGCTTCAATTATGACATCAGTTACCTGACAATTTGTGGAGGCAGACACACGGAAGGAAGATCCAAACGATTTGAGATGACAGCTAAGGTGAGTTGTGATGGGTCCCAAATTAGGATTTAAAGGATATATTTATTTAAAACCAGTGTGTTTTAATAGAATATGGTATAAATTGAAAATCTATTTAAATCAACTTTAAGCTTTTTAAATTGTAAATTGAAATATTAATAGAAATGTAAAATAGTGAAACTTTGTCTGTCACTTTAATATATTACTTCAAAGGCTTAAAGAAAATATATTTTTCTGCAGAAGCTAAGAAACGTTTTAGAATTAACATAAAAAGAAAGAATTTTTCTTGAAGATCAAAAAATTCTGAATAATATTTATTTCAGAAACATCAAAAGAAAAGGTTTCCTGTGTGAAAAATGATTTTTTTTAATTACAAATTTTATTAAAAATACTATTGTCTTGAACATTTTCAGTTCTTTGCCCTGCTGTCGCTGGCCCTCTTCGCAGCTGGCCAAGCGGAATACAACTACAACGAGAAATCGGCCAAGGCGGTCAATTCCCTGGAGAACAGTGCCTCCAGTTCGGGTGAGGATTTCCTCAGCGACTACCACACGCCTAGCAACAATGCCCTAAATTCGGAGGCCACTCCCGATGGCTATGACTATGTGGCGCCCACCAGGAATCAGTTTGCAGCCGCCGGCAGTCGAACGGCCAGTGTTCAGGCCTCAAATTTGCTACAAAATGCTGCGAGTGCTGCCAATGCTGCCTCTGTACTGCTGCCCTCGCCACTGCCCATCCTTCGTCAAGAGCAGAATTCGGAGGTGGTGGCTGCACCATCTGCAGTGCAACAGGATTCTTCGGTGGTTGTTCCATTGGTGCAGCGTCAGCATCAGGAACCGGAGGTCTTTCCCCCAGCCAGCTATAGCTACAACTATGCCGTGAATGACGAGAGCACTGGGGACATCAAGGAGCATAGCGAAACGCGCGATGGTTATGTGGTCAGGGGTTTCTACAGTCTCATCGATCCCGATGGCTACAAGAGGACCGTGACCTACACGGCGGATGATGTGCATGGTTTCAATGCGGTGGTCAACCGAGTGCCCTATGCCCTCAAAACAGTGGTGACTCAAGTGGCCCAACCCACTGCATTCGTGGCTCGCGATGAGCGCTCCAAATCCGAGGGATCAGCTATCCTGGATGCTGAGCTAAGATCGGGATCTGTTTCGGGCAGTGGGTCTAGGTCCTCGTCCTCTGAAGGATCCAATTCCGACTCCGGAGTTACCAATACCTTCGCCGAGGACAGCTACGCCAATGCCCCCCGAGGACTCGACTCCTCCGGCGGTCCCTACGCCTGAGTTTTGCTCCTCTGCTACGCACTCCTTGTATATTCCTTCATTGTGCTTCATCTACTTCTAGTTTTCTAATTAATAAATACAAAACATTGATCACTTAATAACATTTGAATGTGTTGCCTATTTTCGGGGCAATATGGTTAAGGTAAAGCTTTGAAAAAGCTTCTCACTGGCATTTTTACGATTTAAAAAAAAAAGGTAAAAAGGCTGTATTGTATTGCAGAATAAGTTAAGTAATTAAGGTGCGAGTGGCCATATGTTACAGCCTGTTAAGGAGGCAACATAAATGCCTTAACGACTTTTCTTAATCGTTTGCAGCTAAATATGAAAGGTCAAAGTATGCTATGGCACACGTATCTAAGGGGGTTTATTATTTATAAACGAAAAAATTAAATGCATAACCAAGAGACCACAAAGAGTGGAAGTCAAAGGTCAAAATAAATATTAAAAAAGCATTATCATTTATTACCAAAAGAGTAAAATGCATTAAACATATTTTGTTTAAACTCCTCAAGCATTTACAGTTTTTATAAGAAATGTATTTATTTATACCAGATGTTATTACCCAATATAAAGAGGACTATTTTTGTGTCCTATCAATGTCCCAAACTTTACATTTTTCAAAGAATGCCTTGGTATGCAGTGCATATGTGTACATAAAAAGTTATATATTTTATTTAAACCTTTTTGCAGTGCATATGTTTCATTTATAAGAAATGTATTTATTACTAATGCGTTCTTTTAAATCAAAAGGCTTAGATGAAATTACCGTTAAATATCTGGCAACATTGTGGCTGAACAAGCGTTAAGATATTTCTTCAGCAACATTTTCGACGCGCCCATTTAAGTCGAGTCTGTCAACTGCCGGCAAAGCGCGAAGACGTTGTTTTTCTGCTTATATTATTTTCGAGCTTCCATTGTTTATTTTTTCCACTTTGTTTTTGTTTTTGTTTTGAGCTGCAAGTCGCGTTCGAGCAGTGTTTATTTTTTATTTTTATCGCCTTTACCGATGAGCGCAAGTGATTGAAATTCTGCGCCAGTGCGCGCTAGTGTAAAAGAAGTGAGAAACGTTCGAGGAGTTGAACAACTAAAAAGACAGTCACATAATTGGAGGCAGCGATTCGAAACGTTTCCAAATGAAATTGAAGCACCTCGAAAAAAAAAGATCAAAGCTAGAGCCAGGCAATTGCCATTTGCGATTCAGCGATTGCGGATCGAATTGAACTTAAGCAAATTGTTGCATAGCCACCACAACATATAGTACACCTGTGTGCTTTTTTAACCGAAGGTCGACCGCATCTTTACAGGCTTTCGCCTCTGCGTCACTATCTCAAGAATGTGTTAATTCGGCGGTGATTCGACTTCAACAACAACATCCAAAGCGACTGCCTATACGGCGACAACAACACTGTGCCGCTTGACGACACAAGATTTGCATAAAAAAGTAAACAAACGCGGCTCAAAGAAAACAAAAGAGAAAAACCGCTGACGAAAAAATCAAAACAAAATCAGTTCCATACATATATCAATACATTAGCTTTGAAAATGACTATGCCATGACAACAAGCCAAACGTTAAATATTTTAACACATAGTTATGTATCACTTAATTTTTGTTTGAAGGTTATGACAGTCGAAAAGAAAAAAGGTTGTTAATTATTTTAATATTGTGAATAACTAAGCAAACCAAATAATACAAAATCTAAATATTATTTCGATCAGTTTTATTACTGTGATATTTTCAAAAAGTTTATTTTGGTTAATCGCGAAAAAAAGCTACTAAATAATAAAAGAAACAATTTTAAAAAGCGAGTGTTTTTTAAGCAGTGAAAATAACAGTTCCAATTGTACATGCAACCGAAAAATATATTTTTATTTGGCCTAATAATCTCTAATAATTTCTTTGTGTGAAAAAAAAACATTTTAAATATAAAAATGGTATGCTATTGATATTGTGAAACTTGGTTAACAAAACTATTAAAACTTAAAACCATTTTGGTTGTATTTTTATATGTAAAAGTATCGAAATGATTGGACTACGGCCGCATCGCAAGCGTTTTGAGCTGTTTTTAATGGTTCTGATTGGCGTGGCCTGGGGCATTCTATTGTCGGAGTTGATGCGAAGATCCCACTGGAAAAATAACAAGGACCTGGTGAGGGTGAAAAGCAGCCCTTTCCCAACCAGTCGTCGGATAAGTCCTTCCACCTCAACTTCCACTTCTACCTATACGACGACCACCACAACATCTTCATCACCCAATGTCCTGGCCTCCAATCTTTTCAACGAGACACGGGTCCTTTGCATGGTCCTAACCAGCCCGAAAACCCACCACAGCAAAGCTATTCACATCCAGAGAACCTGGGGCACTCGTTGCAACAAGCTAATCTTCATGAGCAGCAAGGCGGATAAGGAACTGCGAACCGTGGTCATCAAAGTGAGGGAGGGCTACTCAAATCTATGGCCCAAGACACGGGCATCACTGCAGTATGTCTACAAGCATCATTTTCGGAATTACGACTGGTTTCTGAAGGCCGACGATGACACGTAAGTGCAATTAAAAATAATAATAAAATATATTACAAAAAGTATCCTTAGAGCTTAAACTTAAAGATACTTCTTGCTACCATGGCAAATTAAAAAAAAAAAAGTTGTTTAACTGTCAAAATTCCATACATTTTCAAAGCTTAAATCACATTTTAAGCTTAAGCGGACTTTACACTATTGTATGAAATATTAACAAATTACGTTGTTTTAATTATATAATTATTAAATCTTTAAGAATTTAAAAATCATACGAAATGTTTGTAACTATAATTTTTCTGCTCTGCTTTCATTTCAGCTACGTGATAATGGAAAACCTACGGGCATTTTTATATGCCTACAGTCCAAGCAGCCCAGTTTATTTTGGAAATAAGTTTCGCAGCAATGTAAAAGAGGTATATTCAAATATTATAACATTTAATTATATAATTAATTTAATCATAAAAAAAATGTTATACAAAACATAAAAACTAGATGTATTTAAAGTTAAAGTTAAAGTTTTTATAATTAGTTTCTAATAACTAACAATATGTGAACCGAAATGGTCAAGCATATTACTTGACTAAAGACGATTTATTTTCTCGCCGTAAAGTGGGCTACAATTGTTGCATTCTATTTATCGACGCCTAATGATAAGCATAAAGCAAAATCCAAATGCAATCGAATCTCATGTGTTATGTGTATAATCCAATTATATTGTTTATGAATATGAATATTCTTCATGTTTTAGGAATACATGACAGGAGGAGCGGGCTATGTACTGAGCAAAATGGCCCTGCACCGACTAATAAACGAGGGATTTGGCAACAGCAGCATCTGCAGCAATCGCGGCTATGGCTATGAAGATATTGAACTGGGACGATGTCTGCGGGGTGTGGGCGTGGTGGGTGGAGATTCCAGGGATGAGCAGGGATTGAACCGCTTTATACCCTTCTCACCGCTACACTGGTATCCAGAGGCTCCAAAATGGTACCGACCACTGCTCTACTACACGACCCCAAATGTAAGGAAAATATCTCCTTTTTTCTGAGTTATAAAATATAAATTCTGCTTATTGTTCATAGATCACCAGTGACTGCTGCTCAAACTCGGCTATCTCGTTTCACTACAACAATGCCAAGGAGTTTTACGTTTTGGAGTATGTTATCTATAAGCTAAGAGCATTCGGCATAAAAAGAATCCAGGATCATTTGCCAGCAAGGAAATCCATATATAGCACTAATGAGACCAAACAAATGGAAGTCAACAATATTGTGGTAGTAAAAAATGTCACAGAACCAAAAGTCATAATCCAAAACATATCCCTCTAACAAAGAGTAGTTTAGTTTTATATTGACTGCAACAGACAATGCCAAAGAGTAAGACCAAGATATCAAAAATTATCTAAAACTACTCCTTTAATTAAAACACTGAGTTGTACATATAATATAATTCTCTTTTGTTTAATTAATTTAGTTCTTAATTAAATTGAGTTTTAAATATGTTAGCTTACTTATTTTTACTTTTTAATTTAATAAATATTATTGTCATATAATCAAAATAGGCTAAGCTTCCATGTAAAAATTATTAGTTATAAGTATAAATGCCATTTTAATTATTTACAAGTTACGAAGTTACAAACAAATGTTAAAATTAAATAAAACTAGTATCATAACCTAAACTGCTGTTGCCTTAATCGCTTTTTTCTTGGGGTTCTTGACGGAGGATGCCCAGCAATGAGACCATATGGTCGTGCTTTATACAAAATCGTTTCCAGAAAGTGCATTTCGTAGGGTGACACATAGTGGGTGGATATCGCATAAGATGAACAGCATTGAATTCCCTGTAAATAAAGCCAAGTTCAAATTTAGGTATTACAAAGTGCCTGTACATTAATAAATAAAAATAAGCTAGTGTTTCTCATACCGTTCCAGCTGGGTGAAGAAGATATCTCTGCAGCCAAAAGTTGTCTTCATCATGATCAGGTATGAGAAAGTGTTCCATGGTCAGCGAAAAGAACCGATGTCGTCCATAAACGTCTCTGGAGTCGTAAGCCTTAACACTCAACTTTCGTAGGCATTGGCCCATCACCCAGTCTTCAGTGCCTCTGTCGCCTGGCTGACAATGACTTCTTTCCCCCTCAACCAATTTCTTTACGGCCATTTTGCTGAGCACATAGCCAGCTCCTCCGGACATGTAAATGCTGGACGACAACTGGAAGGTGGAACCAAAATAAATCGGATATTTGGGTGAGTGTGTTTGAAGCATATATCGCATATTCTCCATTAAAGCATAGGTATCGTCATCAGCTTTGTAGAACCAGTCCGCCTCGTGACCATAATGCATATAGGCATGTCGAAAGGCAGCCTTTGTCTTGCCCCACAAATTACTTCGCACATCACTTATGTTCAGACCCACAATCTCAATGCCTGGTAAGATGGTTTCGGAAGAACTGCCATAAAATACCACACGATTGCAGTGGCGACTCCACGTTTCGCTAATTGCCTTCACGGCACTCATGTAATTCTTTGGCCAGGTCAATATCAAGCAAATTATCCTTACCGACCGATACAAATACCTGGCCACACGATCGTTCAATGGCCTCGTTGCTATTGTTGTGGCAAAACTGGAGGACTTAAGTTCCGGCAGGGAATTTACGTGGCCATAGGGTCGCAGGTGATAGAACACAAACTCCAGGATGTGCATCGATATGGAACGGCAATACGGGAAAAGTACGGCTCCCCCAAAACAACTCTCCCAGCTCTAAGGATAACAATTAAATTTAAATTTAAGGTTTAAAATTTTAATAAGTATTTATTAAATAAGAATGTAATGTTATGTAATTGTAACAGTGATACATTATGAACTAACATCTATTTAAATTAAGTCAATTTTATGCCAGGTTTTAAAGCTTGTTATTAAGATGGCCAGCAAACTCACCTGGTTTTGGTAGACAGCTCGGAAGGCGCAGGGCCAGAGCCAGAACTCATTGCGCAAACTAAAGGGGATCACCTCATCCGGGACATTAAATGGCTGGAGGGCATCGCTGGGACCCCTTTTCATTCGTTTCAAGCACTCCCTGAGAAAAACCTCATTTCGGAGGCAATTTCTGGTGGCCAACTGCTCCAAAGCCTCCCTACTGAAAATGTAATCGGTGCTGGGTACCCTGCCCACATGGGCGTAGATATAGAAGGCGTGATGGGCACTGAAGTAGATCTCCTCGGTTGGACGATAGTGGGCCAGCATGAGGCGCAAATTCTCCATAATCACATATGAATCCAAGTAAACCACCAGCAGCCAGTCGAACTCATTGTGGAACTTCTTATAAATACTGTGGTATGCCTCCAGCAAAGAGATCTCCCTTTGGTCGATAATGGTCAGATGATTACAGCGACGACCCCAAGTTTTATTTGCATGTCCAGCCTTAATAAGACCAAACTTGTAGTCCGAAGGGTCCAAATAAACCAGGCAATGCACACGCACCTTCTCCTGAAGAATTCTCGCTATCCGATCATCATCCCAATGCTGACTTCTTTGGCCAACATCATACTCTTTTATCTTCTCCTTATATGGCTTAAAAATGAACTCTTTCAAATCACCGAAGGTAGTACTGTTGAAGAATATCAACAACTCGAGTACCAACAGCCAGAACAAGGTTGATAGAATCAGCAACCGGAAAAACCCCCTAGAATTCATATTCTTAAATATCCTATATGAAAACTTTGGCATTTTTAGACACAGCTCCTCAGGTTGAGCATTGAATATTATTAATTATAAATAATATAAAATATATGTAAAATATGTTATAAATATGTCAGCACAAAATGTACTTTTCTGAAGAAAACTAGCTGATAAAAGCCGTTAAAATAAATGTAAATAGTGGTTTCTTATCATGTTATCTGGATTATTCAGAAGAGATTACAAATTGAATACCCCTTTAATTTAATTTAATTTATTTCAGTAAGAATCGTAGTCGATATTGTATATGGGGAATGTCTTGTAGGGCTTGTTGAGCTCGTCATCCAGTTGTTGATCAATCCAGGACTTCACTTGGGTGATGCTCGTGTAGAGGCCGGGCACTTCCTCCTCTCCGCAGGACACGCCGCTGTTGACAATGCCGACGAATTCGTAGAGCGAAGGATATCCGGGGATGGGGCACATTAGGGGCGATCCCCCGTCGCCCTTGCAGGCATCTCGTCCGCGTTCTCCACCGGCGCACAACATGGTGGGATCGAGCTCGTAACTCGGTCCCAGTGTCCTCTTCAATTGAATCTCACACATTCTTCTGCTCACAATGGGTAGATCGATTTTCTTCTGCCGATTCGAAATGTTTCCAGCCAAAGGATTTAGTTTGCCCCAACCGACAACCAGACAGCGTTCTCCCACAAAGGATGTTCCCGGCGAGGCCCAGCAAATTGGGCTGATTTGGGGCTTAAAGTAGAACGAAACGGCCAGGATGATAAGGGCTATGTTATTGGCCCCGGTGAGCATGACAAAACCTGGATGCGGAATAACCCTGGCCGGGGATCGGGTGACCACGGAGTTCTTGAACAATTCATTCAAGTCCCAGGCACCTCCAACGACTATAAAATCGCTTATAGACCGATTCAGCATCAGATGGGCAGCAGTTACTACCACATTTTCGGTGACCAGAGTGCCAGCACCAAAAAAAAGGTTCTTTGGTTTCATCAGAGCCACAACCCACGGGAATTCGTTGGGCTGTGCCTGATCGGCAGCAACCAGTGTTCCTGGCTCCAGACCATGCGGATTACTCCGACCACACATTAATGGTGCTCCAATGGGCAACTAGAAATTGTAAAACATGTACTTTAAGGCAATTGAACACTATATATACTATACACTTACTACTGCAGAGGGGTGACAGCATGTTTCTGAGCGCTGGCAGGCCGAATGGAAAAATGCACCATTTCTACAAAGGCCTTGGGGTACACAATTCATGTCGATTCGGAGGCCACAAGGTGCTCCCGCCTCAGTCAGCACCCACAAAAGGCAGCTGAAAATTATAACTCTTCGCGACATTGTTTGACTGAAGACTAAAAACAAATCAGTACAATAAATCAAGCCAGCAAATTCAAAGTATGATTTAAATATATTCTGAGAAGTATACTGAGAACAAAAATTCTCCGCCATCGTTATCAGTTCACAAACACAACGAATATACATATGCACATATATACATTTATAATTGCATTATTATAAATGATTCAGTTTAAAATACATAGCCATAAAATGTAAGCGACTTAAAATTCCTCAACTTATAAGATGGCACAAATATATGCAGATATGATCTGATTTTTTAAACTTTATTAATAACAGCACAAACACATGAAAGGAATAATAAAATCAGAAATTGTTTCTGAAAGGACAAATAACTTTTTTTTGATTTTTACTTTGTTTTTGTTGTGCCAAAAAAAATATATTTTAGGGGAAAACACAAAGTGCATTTTTTTTGTGCTATAAAAAACCCACTAAGTGTGATAAGCGTCTTGACCTTTTTGACTTTTGGTTTTTCGAGCACTATTTTGGGAATTTATAAGTGAAAAAATGTTATTTTCAGCTGAACACATTCTTTATTTAAAAATTGCTGATTTAAAATCGATATCTTTGTGCCTTTACAAAACGAAGGTGCCGCCAGCCAACTTCTCATCGATCCAATCCCTGAACTTGGCGACGTTTGTGTAGACTCCCGGAACGTTTTCCCGGCCACACTCGATGCCATAGCTGACGATGCCAGCCTGCTCGTAACGGTGGGGGTAGCCTTCCATGGGACAGAACAAGGGGAATCCACCATCTCCAGAGCAGGCATCCTTGTTCAACTGTCCGCCGGCACAAATGGAACAATCTGGCAGCTCATAGGCGGCGCCCAATTGGGTTCGTCTCAACAGGTCCTGGCATGTTTCTCTGGGTTCAATGCTCAACTCCAACTTCTTTTGTATACTCGCGTATTGTGCACTTTCATACGAACTCTTTCCCCAGCCGGCAACTATGCAGTTTCTTTGGTCGAATGACTTATCCTGCTGAGGCAAACAAATTGTCCTGATGTTGGGCTTCAATTCGAACGGAGTGTCGAGGAATAGCAGGGCAATGTTGTTGCTGCCATTTTGGAATACATAAGTATCAGGGTACACGACATCGGTGACCCAGCGCTCTTCATGCTGGAACGCTTCCGATGTCGATGACAAGTCCCAATCGCCAGCTCTTACCTTAATGTCGTCAGTCCGGGTCAATTTAGCCATAAATATTTGGTGAGCTGCAGTCAGAACAACTCGAGGACTAATCAAAGAACCGCCTCCAAAATAACTGCCCTTGTTGAAGAGGGCCACCACCCAGGGATATTGACCGGGCGTTGATTGCCAAGGACCCACTTGTTTTCTCTCATCTAACCCTCGCGGATTACCCAAACCGCAAATTTCATCTAATCGATCCTTTGGCACTGGAGCTTTCGATGCACCGAGGTCCTGTTTTCTTGAGGCATAACCTCCACTTAAATCTTGTTGTGATGCGGTATTACGGTTTTCAGCTTGGGAAAAACTTCCTCGGCCTCCAGAGAATTCTTGGTTTGATGCGGGAGAATAGGAGTTAGGTTGGGGCATATTCTCTTGGCCATAACCCCCGCTCAAATATTGTTGTGATGCGGTATTACGGTTTTCATCTTGGGAAAAACTTCCTCGGCCTCCAGAGAATTCTTGGTTTGATGCGGGAGAATAGGAGTTAGGTTGGGGCATATTCCCTTGGCCATAACCCCCGCTCAAATATTGTTTTCCAGTGAATTCTTGGTTTACTGGGTCAGAAGGCTAATATTTAAAAATAAATCGAAATTAATTACATTTTCAAATAATTAAACAAAGTTTAATGCACTTACATTGGCAGAACCTCCACCAAAGTCTTGTTTCGGTGTGTCATAATTGAGTCCAGTTTGGGGGAAATATCCTTGGGCAGTCCATTTCTAAAATTTAAAAATAATTCTAAAGTAGATGCATTTTCAAATAAATTCATAATAATTAATTAATTTATTAATTAATAAGTAATGCACTTACATAGGCCCGAACTCCACTAAAATCCTGTTGGTCTTGGGTAGTAGGGATACGAGGCGAAAGCTAAAATCCAAACAAATTAAAATTAGATGCATTTTCAAATATATTAATAAGGTTTAATGACACTTACATCGGTCCTATTTGCACAGCAAACTTTTTGGTTCTCACACCTATATTCTGTAACATCGACTTGTGGTGGATAAGAACAATATTCCTTAGTAACACATTTGTATGGACAGAGGTCGGCAGCAGAAATCCAGGTCAAAAGAAGAGCTCCTATCGCCCAGCTCCGTGCCATTGTTTAATCGCGAATACAAATCCGGAAAGACTGACGGTGAGAGAGTACCGATCGCTTATATACAGCGAAAAGAAGAATTGCTTCAAGCTTATCACTTTTGTACTCTACTTTCTCGGAATCAATATATAAATATGTTATTTCGAAAACGTATCGTATGTATAATGTGTTTGTGTTAGTTTCCGTTGATAAGAATGGCAAAATAGTAATTTTAAAACATATTTTTTACAAAAACATTTTATACTATGTATAAGTAACCACAAAACTACATTTACCATTTTGGAGATGAGCAATTTTCGGAATATTATCAGGTGAACATTATAACAGATTTTATATATGTTTTTCGTGGTCCACCAACCCTTGAAATTTGGGATGTCACAAGGCGAGATAACATACATACCTCCGTCTGCATTATTTGAATGGGTATGTGCCAGTTCAAGGTTTGTTTTGATAAGCTATTTTGATAAGACTTGTTGACACAGAAACATCAAACTGTACCATAGACATACTCAAACTTTTTGAATATTAAATTTTTAAATTTTTAAAAGACGTGATTCAACATTTCCAACTAAATGACATAAAAATGTATTTTTTCCGACCACTTAAATTTGAAAAGCAAGAACACATATATTCTTATGGGCCGAGCTGATCTATGAAAAATGCGTTCTTTTTCAATTAAATTTTTTACAATTTATTAAAATATCATGTTAAAGAGTTCTATCAGTTTTTTGCTGATACTATTTTTTTTAAACAGACCGTTCGTTGAAGTCGTTGGGGTTTCCGCCAGCACTCTTCTGCAGTTGCTCCCCAATCCAGCCTCTCAGCATGGCCACATTTGTGAAGGCTGAGACCACGATTTGTTGGCCCACCCTCCAGCTGAAGATGCCTGCCTGAACGTAGCGATCCGGCTGGTCCACCAGTGGACAGAACAACGGAGATCCGGCATTGACAAAGGTGCCATCCTGGTTCATATCACCGCCGGCACAAATGATGCTCTCGTGCAGCTGGAAGTCTGGACCCATCCCTTGCTTTAACAAGTCCTGACAGTCCAATTTGGCTAAAACGGGCAGATCCATTTTGTTTTGTACATCTGCAAAGGGTAGATCGCCAACCGATCGCTTTCCCCATCCGGCGACCACGCAACGCTTTTGATCGAAGGTCTCATTCTGCTGAGGTAGACAAATGGGGCGAATGTGAGATCGCAAGGTGAATGGCGTTTTGAGGTATAAAAGTGCCAGGTCATTGGCGCCACTCTGCGCTCGAAAGTTGTTGTGCACCTGAATCCTGACCACATGACGCTCATCCGGCGGAAGTTGATTGCTTCGCAGTAAAAAGTCAAAGTCGCCAGCCCTGGCCACAATATCCGTTTGGTTCATATTCACCACAAGGTGAGCTACGGTCAGGACGACTGCAGGGGCAACTAGGGATCCGCCACCAAAATATTCACCGTTTTGGAAAAGAGCAACAGTCCAGGGATATTGACCAGCAAAAGGATGACTTCCAGGCACTGGTGAACTCACAATTAGTGGATTCCGATTGCTTAAGCCGCAATTTTTATCTTGGGGCGCGGGTTGGTAGTTTGGTGGCTCTGGAACGGGTTGATTTTTTGGTGGAACCGGAATAGGGTAGTTGGCATTGGGTTGATTTTTTGGTGGGACGGGAATCGGGTAGATTTGTTGGACTGGAATCGGGTAGTTTGCTTGGACTGGAATCGGGTGGTTTGCATGTGGTTGATTTTTTGATGGGGCGGGTAACGGGTAGATTTGTTGGACTGGAATCGGGTACGTTGCGTCGGGTTGATTGGGTTGATTATTTGGTGGAACTTGAATCGGGTTCCTTACGTTGGGTTGATTATTTGGGGGAACTTGAATCGGATTCCTTACGTTGGGTTGATTATTTGGTGGAACTTGAATCGGGTTCCTTACGTTGGGTTGATTATTTGGTGGAACTTGAATCGGGTTCCTTACATTGGGCTGAGGGCCTGAAGGAATCAATACAAGTTCTGGTCGATCGGGGAGCGGATCTGAGTTGGCTGGAAATATTTGAACAGCTTGTGGGGCGGGCTGTTGATCTTCTTGATTGGGTTGCTGATTATTTGGTGCTTGCTGGGGTCGATCCTTAAAATTGAACGCATTAGAATGCACTTAATTAAATTAATTTTAGCCACTTACCCAGACCCCATCTGCACAGCAGTCTTCACTGTACCAGCAGGCATCTCCCGATCTGTCTTTAAGAATATTTACGCAAGATCCCTTTGGAATGCAGCGATTTGGACGCTCACAGAGGTCGACCGCTGAGATACAGATACAAAGGAGGGCTCCTAGGGCCCAGAATCGAGACATCATGCTCTCAAGAATAACGATTTCAAAAAGACTGACTGTGAGTAGAATTCGGCATCGTATATATACCTTGCTTATCAGCTTGTGTATTGTGTATTCGCAAAAGAGCGAATAGTACATGGGCAAATTGGAAAAACATTTTATAAATGGTAATTCTAAAAATTTAAATACATATTTTAATATCAAATCTTCCTTTAATTTGAGTCCATTCATTGCCTAACTATGCCAAAATACATGTGAAAACCATTATGTATATTTAATTATTTATATTTAATTCAATTGTTATTTTGGTGGCAAAATTTCAGTGAATTAAAAATAATATACAATATGTTCTAAGCAATGTATAACTTTTAATTTAATAAGTTTTAAATGTTGACTAAGACGAATTAAACATTAAACATTTTATTATGTTTTTTCTAAGTGTAAAGAGAGCTGTCTATATACAGATCAGCGACCTTTCTTTCCATATTTAATTTGTTTTTGTGAATTACTTTAGATTATGGGCTTATGGTTGTCAGCAGAACAATTGCTTCGCTTAAGTTGACAAAAAAGCATTTGTACTTTTACATTAGGGTTATTGAAATTTGTATAAACTTTTTTAATGTCTTCTTTTTTAATAATATTTGCTAATATTTGTTTATACAAAAAGCGTATTGATTTTAATGTTTACAATTTATTTTTCATTAAGATTCCAACTCATAATTAGTAGATTTTCTTTAAATCTATTATATTAAACGGTATGTAAGGCTTTTATTTCTGGGACCACCCTGATATACATCAAATGTTTATGTATATGTGAGCAGTGAATGCAAGATACTCCTTTCAAAAACAGAAATATAAAAGCACAAAATAAAATTGGTTTATTAGAAGAAATGGTCAATTATATGTCCTCAAATATGCATTGGCCTTAATTTATTTATTTAATTAGCCTATTCTTACACCGACATTATCGCAGTTCATTAGCCGTTCCACATCGTTCCTGGCCAGACTTCGGTCAATCCAATCTCTGAAAAGAGCCACATTTGTGAAGGTTGCCGGAACATTCTCAATGCCACACCCGACGCCCCAGCTGACGATGCCGGCCTGCTCGTAGCGATCTGCGAAGTCGCCCAGTGAGCAAAACAAGGCGGATCCTCCGTCGCCAGTACAGGCATCCCTGTCCTTCTCTCCGCCGGCACAAATCAGACTGGGGGCCAGCACAAAGTTGGGTCCCGGGTCGACTTTTCTCAACTGATCCTGGCACTCTGCTCTGTCCACCATGGGTAAATCGATTTTCTTTTGGACATGCGAATACTGGGTGTCCTCAATTGTTTGCTTTCCCCATCCGGCCACAAAGCAACGTTTTTGCTCGAAGAATTTTCCCTGCGGTGGCAAACAGATGGTCTGGATGTGCTCCTTTAACTCGAACGGTGATTTTAGGTATAAAAGGGCTATGTTATTAGCACCAGTCGTCAACACAAAATCTTCATGTTGCACAATTTGGGCCACACCACGCTGCTCAGCCGAAAAACGTTCCGAATTGGAGGCCAAATCCCATTCACCAGCTTTGACCAGAACATCAGCCGCTGAAATCGACCTCAGGAGGTGAGCCACTGTTAGTACAACTCCAGGGGAAATTAGGGATCCGCCTCCAAAGTATTTGCCATTGCTAAATAGCGCAACTGTCCAGGGATATTCACCGGGTTGTGAATGCTCCTCAGTTTTGGGATGTGCTGGCTTTTTTTTATTATTGAAAAAACATGGTTTTTAGTATTTGGGCGAATCAATATGAAAATGATGTACTTACCAAGGCAAAGATTTCACAACAGCTTTCACCCACTTTGCAAGGAGCTGAATTAAATAACCAATCCCTTTCAGGAGCCTCTTTTAAACAAATTGTCTCGGCAACACAGTTAAATGGAGTTCCACAGGCATCACAATATAGTATGCAGCTTAATAGGAAAAATCCAATTGCCAAGAGGCGTAAATTTGTCCAATCGAGAGTAAACATTTTAACAGACTGATACTGGTGACTGACTGATGCCTTGCTAGCCTTTATAAAGCTTTGGCTTATCATTATATTCAAGGTTGAAGGTTAAGGCTTTTTGAACTAGTACAATCTCTACCAGGAATACCCAAAAACTTAAATTTCTTTTTGAACTTTAAACTACACAATATACAGAATGATAAAAAATGTACTTAAGGAGGTTAAAAAAAAAATGACTAGTTAAATGTGGTGTGCAATAAATATATTCAAAACAAAAATATATTGTTTAAGTTCATAATGTCAGTAAAAACCCAATTTTCGATCAAAGTATGAGTGAAATACTTTCAATTCGATTATTGAATAAATGCAGCAAAACGCATACGATAAGTGGTTGTGAATAGAAACTGAAAATTTGCAATCAAATTTGGACCACCCTAATGTATAAATAAAAAGTTTATTAGCAGAAACGTGTTTTTTTTTGGGATTTCCTAAAAATGGACTTTTATTTATAATATATGCGTGTCAGATTTGTCACTCAAATTTCTTATCTTTATTTTTTCTATATGCATATATAAAACACATTTTTGATACTTAAAAAACTAACAAATTTATGGTTGAAACCTAAAAAAGATTATAAAAAATGTAATTACTTTATTACTTTATTTTTTTATTAGTGTAACAAAACATAGCAGAGAGCACATTTCAGAGACATTTTACTAATGAGAATAATAACCTCTCAGAAGACTTATTCAGCATTTTAAAAATTAGTCGTAACTAATAGGTGTAACGTTCCATTTTTCGTAGTTTTGTGTTCATACTGATTTAATAGTTTACTCTATCAAAGATGGAGAGGAAGGAGTGCGTTTTTCTGGATCGAAATAAGCACTTTCAACAGCATTCATCATCAGCATCATGCTGCCGTCCATTGCTTTTTCTGCTCCTGGGCATTGCGATTGGCTATCTGATAACCCAGGTTGTTCTGTGGCCGTTAATGGACTTTAAATCGCATGCGAATCGCACCAGTGAAACAAATCCACTCGACATCGATTTGTCCGACGAAGTGCGAGTCTTGTGCTATGTCTATACAAAACAAATGAATCACAAGGTGGAGGCTCAGGCTGTGCTGATGACTTGGGGCAGAAGGTGCAACAAGTTAATCTTTTTTACCAGCCACAATGACTCGAGTCTCAGGGGATCTGTGGGATTGCCCGGCGATGTCAATTACCGTGAGACGTGGCGGAAAACGAAGAGGGCGCTGAAGTACCTCTATGACCATCACTTGAACGATGCCGACTGGTTCCTGGAGGCCGACGATGAGACCTTTGTGGTGATGGAGAATCTGCGCTACATGGTCTATCCGTACAGCCCCGAAATGGCCATCTATTTCGGATCCCCGGGCACTGTGATGAGTCGTGCTGCACTGCGTCGTGTTGTGGAGTTGGCACTGCCAAATCCATCGAAATGTGAACCAAAGGATTCGGGTGCCACTGGGGGAAGGCTGAAGGAGTGCCTCGAAAATGCCAATGTGGTGGCGGGCAACTCTCACGATTCCAAAGGTCGCCGGCGAATTTATCTCATCGATCCACAGGCCAGATCAAATAGGTACCTACACTATGATCCCACGTTTTGGTTCTGGAAATTTCTAGCCTACAGGACTCAAGAAGTTGGTAGTCAAGTTGAAAACTAACAACCTCAAAATCTCACATCTTTTAATTTTTTTAGGGCATATTCGCCTGGTCCAAATATGCTGTGTCCTTTCATTACGTTCAACATCGCTATATTCACTGTTTCGAGTATATGATCTATAGATTGAGGCCTTTTGGACGAAAACTTCCTGTAGAGTACCTTCCAGTTAAATTAGACAGAGTCGAGAAGGAGGACTTCAAAGGAGATCAATCACAAAATGTTGAGAAGGAAGTGCCAGCAGACTACGCCTATTAAAAGATTCTATAAGGGGTTCAATTAAATTATAAATTTCATAAAATAAACTCATTTGTATCTAACATAAAGGATATACTTTTCAAAGAACTCAAAATAGTTTATATATATATATTTATTTATGCTACTTTACAAAATTCTTTAAACTATTTTACTACGATGATTACAAGTAATAAACCATTTTAAAATAAAAGCACTGGAAAAAATTATATAATTAAATAGGAGATATAAAATAAAACAATTTTTACAAATTATAAAGCTTTTACTGACAAGCTGTAACTTCTTGTTAGATTTTTAGATTTAGTTTTGTCAACAGTATAAACACTAAACCCAAAACAATTCTAATGCTTTTTCGAAGTTTTCTTGGACCTGGAACCCTTATCCTTTTTCTCATCTGTATATTCATAATCATCATCAGTTTGTCTAGTTTCGTCCTGTTCCTCAGCTTCCTTTGAAAGTTTTTCCCTATATTTAGCCTCTTCTTTTTCCACCTCCTTGGAGTCCATTTCCCTGGCATCGGGTTCCTTTGGCTTCTCGGTTGTGGTCGTCCAAATCCTGTCCATGTCATCCGCGGAATCCTCATTGCTGGCCAAAGGACGTTCAACTGGAGCGGGCAGCAACTCACCCACTTTTAGTTTGGCTGGCAGAGCTTCCAGAGATCGCATCAAGCCATACGGCTTCAAATGATAGATGAGATAGTCCAGCACATACATCAGATTTGGGGCCACATAGTGGAAGGATATGGCCAAATCCGAGCAGCAGTCAAGACCCTGATGAAAAATAATTTATAAAAGATATATAAACAAATTCAATAAAATTATATTTAGTACTTAAATATATATTCTTATTAGTTATGGCCAATATGGCATTGTAAATTGTACTATATTTGCCAACAATTTTACAAATAATTAATACATTATAAACTTTAAGTAGATAATACCAAAATGCGTGACTTTAAATTTTTTAATTAAAATACAACCTTGCTTTCTCATACCGAAAACATACTTCTCATCAAATATTTTATCCAAAAACAAACTCACGTCATCTGTTTTGTAGTAGAGATAGTTCCAGTACCAATAGTTCTTGTCCCATTTGGCCGGAATCAAGTGATGTTCCGGGACGAATGGAAACATGCGACCTCGTCCGATCTCATCTCTGGAATCGCCGGCCGTAACATTCAGGTTCTCCATGCAGCGTCCGATTTCAATGTCCTCGTTGACCACCGTGCCCGGCAGACACATCTTCGGATTCGGAATGCCCTCGACGACAAATCGACGCAGTGCCTCTTTGCTGAGTATGTAGCCTGCTCCGCCGGACATGTATCCCTGTTTCACGAATGGCTTGAACTTAAAGCCAAAGTGTACGGGTGTCTCGGGACTGTACGGATAGAGCATATACCGCATATTCTCTATGACCGCATAAGTGTCGTCATCGGCCTTGTAAAAGAAGTCGGCATCGTTGTAGTGATGCTTGTAGACGTACTTAAACGCCTCCTTGACCTTGGCCCACAGATTCTCACGGCCTTCGCCCACATTTAACCGCACCGTGGGCAACTCCTCATCGTCCCCAGAACTCATGAACAGCAGGATATTGCAGCGTTTGCCCCACGTCCTCTTCACGTGGCGGGCTTTCTTTTTGTGATTGGTGGGATTGGTCATCACCCAGCAGAGGATGCGAACCTCCTTCTTCAGCTGCTCGGCCACGGTGGTGTTGTCATCCGCATGACTGTGCTGGAAGGGATTGTGTTCTGGTGCTAATGAGCTCTGGACACCACTATCCCCCGCATGCAAATTGCTGGGCAGGCTCAGGCGTCGACTGAGATACGGATAGAGGCTCTCGTGCGGCACAATGCTGGAGAAGATTTGGGACATGCAGTAGCCCACCACCATGCCCACAATCAGGGCCAACACCGAGCGATTCTTGGAGCGAGGTGCTGCAATTAATCAGTTGAGTACTATATATGGGGGAAGTAACCAAAATCTTTACACATTACAACATGAAATCATGAAAAACACCTTTACCAACAAATATACTGGGATTCTGTGGTTTTTCTTTAAGCTTTTAAAGTCTTCAATCTCTAGATTTTAAAGTTCCTGACAACAACATTTTTAAATTGACAATGCTGAACTGTACTTTTAAGCCCTTAAAATTCCTCATTTAACCTATAGTTTTCAAATGTTTTGAAATTACAAAAACGCCTTTTGATATAATTCTTTTTATAAGAAAGATCCACAAACGTGTAAATACCTTCTGTAAGAAGAGAACGCGATAGAAGACTTGCACTTGTCATTTTTGCTCTTTACTTCACCAAATATTTTAGATCACTAAAAAATTTCCCTTTCAACTGGGAATCAACTAACTCAAGCCGTCTGAAGTTCACTTGTGCAAACAATTAGTTGGTTTTGTGTCAAATTTCTTATTGTCTAACAAATATGTCTAAACTTGTAGACTCCATTTTCAGCTAGAACTGAACCCGATTGCGTTTGTAAGCCGACTGAGCAACATAAACTTAGTATGGAGCTGATCAGATGGTTTGTCGCTATACTCGTAATATATCAAAAACAGTTGATCAAACATTGCTTAAGCAAATACTAAAATATAGGTCTTTGTACCGAACCATGTTAGAATAACCCTTTGAGACGTAATGGAAATATTAAACTTATTAAACTTATGATACAATACCACAATCATAACTCTTTTCTCTTTGCTAAAGACTTTTTATCAATATCCTTGAAATGATTATCGAAAAATTAATTCAAATTAATTCTTGCTTTTTTTAAATTCAAAAATTACTTGTTAAAGTTATAAAAGTTATAAAACATTTATAGAAAGTTTGATTAATATTAAAGCTGCTTAGGCAAGCTTTAAGCACACAGCTTAAATCAGATTACACATGTCAACAAAATAAGAATAAGTATTTTTTTAGCTAGCCTAATTCAACAAGCAAACTATAGTATAACCCTTATAATTTTCGTTCAATATAAAACACTTCAATAATAGTGTGTGTCAATTTATTAAACTTGCAAAAATGTGGACTATACTTAAAATGTAATAAAGTAAGAAATTAATTAATTATCGTAACTACTTTACAGGGAAAATAAGCGGAAACCCATCGAGTTTAACTAATTGCTAATTTAAGGACAAAAAGGCGTTTAAACTTAAAGCACTTGTCAACAATTGCTTAGGGTACAGTAGGTCTATACGTAGTTTTAGGTATAATTTAAATATAAGTTTATTTATATGGGTTATGTACAGCGGACATTCGCGATAACACTCTCTGTTCGGGTCCATGTTAACATTTTTTATAGTAAATTGTTATAGTTAGCATTATTGTTATGGTTTTTACGTTAAATTCAAAATACAAGCTCCAAGTGGTTTTTAATATGAATGATACGGCTTATCTAATAAATAGTTTGGTTTCCTTTTGGGGGAGGCCATTAAGTTTAGCTTGGACGTGTTTTTACTAGTGGTTATTTGTTTTGTGCACGGTTGAGTGTTACACTGGGCTACACAAATTGGGGTATTGGGTATTGAAACACTCTCTCCCCTTGCCCCACTTTTTTCTGGATATAAGCAAAAAGGCCAAGTTCATAAAGGTACTTTGGAGGCGTGGTCTCTCAAAAGCCCATGACCATATCCCCTTACGCCGACATCGTTTTGACCGTGGACGTGGACACCGCGGACGAGACCATTGCCTTGGCGCTGCGCGCCACCATCGTCCTGATCCGCTCCTGGAGATAATCACAGATGGAGGTGTACTTCTGCTGGTGTGCCAGCTGCAGGGCCGTCAAACCATCCTGGTTTTTGAGCAGAACATCGCTGCCAGCTGCCACCAGTTGTTTGCAGACGGTCATGTGACCAAACATTGCGGCGGCATGGAGCGCTGACTCGCCATTGGGCAGCTGGCCAAGATTGGGTCGGTATTTAAGCAAAACGGTGATGACGGCCGCGTGACCTTTGTGGGCCGCCTTAAAGAGGGGTGTGGCGCCATCGCAGCGCACCGTATCCACATTGGCGCCATTCTGCAGCAGAACCTTACAGATGTGGTCCTGACCCATCTGGGCGGCTATCCAAAGGGGCGTGGCACCGTCTATCCGCTTGATATCGATTTCCGCATCCGCCTGGATGAGCAGCGACAAAACTGTGCGATGACCATTCTGGGCGGAGATAAACACTGGAGTGGCACGATCCTGTGGGGAAAAAAATATACATATTATAGATAATGTACCATAATTATTTTATAAATATTTTTAATGACTCTTTTCAGAATAGATTTTAAAATCTTAAATATTTTATTTAAAATAAATAAACAGTATCCATTTTAAATTAAATAATTTATAGCTTTAATAATAGTTTTATAGCTTTAATAATAGTTCGTGCAATTTAATATCCATTGTGTTTTATAAAATATACTTTATATTTTATTTAAATATGCAATATGAAATTTTGAATAGCCAGATATTTATTATGCAAATCCATTTTTTATCAGTGTGTGTAAGGTAGGGATTATTATCCTTGTAAACCCACCTTCATATGAGCATTGACATTCGCCCCGCAGTCCAACAACTCCCGCACTATCTTCACATGACCGCCCTGGGCGGCCACAAAAAGGGGCGTGCCGCCATCCGCGGAGGGCGTGTCCACATTGGCGCCCGCCTTTATCAGGATCTTCACCACGTCCAGGTGACCGCCCTGGGCGGCAAAGAAAAGAGGCGTGGTGCCCGTGAGACGACGCGAATTGGGATCGGCCCCTTGATCGAGCAGCTCCATCACGCAGTAGGTGTGACCTCCGGCAGCAGCCAAGATAAGTGGAGTTGTCCCATCCTGAAAGAGAGATTGCAAAAAAGAATAATTTAATATTTATAACTATTATTATATTTTATTTATATTATTTAAATAATCTTTTTATATCCCAAATATAAATGTATTTATTTTGTAAATTTTAAATCACCCTACAAAACAAAATAAATAAACAATCATAACGGGAAAACTTTTATTTTGAGGATGAATACCAAATTGTTTGATGAACTAAAACCGATTAAATGTGGTTTCAATCACTACAATCCACTAACTCACAAAATGATACACTCGACTGCTATCACAAATTTGCAGCTTACGTTTATTTTAAAATCAAAGCGATAAATGAAAACCAATTGTTTTAATTGTTTAATTGGCCATCAACTGATTTGAATAGCAAATTGCGATTAGTTTCACCAGCTCAACGCTCAAATTGTTTCGTGAGGATTTGCATGCACGTCTGTGACTCGGACTCGGCAAAAAACTATGTTGGAAAAAAAGCAAAAACAAAAATAGTTGTATATCCAAGGGGAAAAATCGCGCCACAAATCGCAAAATCACTCTCGATGCACTCGGACTGAATCTGAATCTGAATCCAAATGGGGGAGTCACGTAGCGCCCTAGCCGCCGACTTTTGCAGACCAGCTGGCATAATATAATACTCAACTCGATGGCACACTGCCCCCGCAGCCCACTTTCCCTTCCATTTCATTCCTATGGATTTGGTTTTGGTCTTGAGACCACGCTTCGCTGAGTGGCCAGGGAAATTTAATTTCGCTTTTATATACACTTGCCGAGGGTACTAAAGTACCTTAAACTCAAATGTTTGGAATTAACAGGTTCAAGATTCACTTGTTAATTTGCAGCTATACACTTGATTATATTTATCTTTCTTGAAATATAGCTGAATTTACTCTACAATGATTACACTTAAATGTGTAGTAAGCTGATTTTTCAACAGAGTGTTTGTATTTTGTATTAAATTATTAAATGAATTAAACTATTCAATAATTACCGAAATTAATTGAAAAGTAATCTGGTTTTTAATAAAGGGAATAAATTGTTTGTTGAATTATTTTATTTATTTAAATTAAAGCCTCAAATCGTTTTTTAAATTTTTAAAGAGTATATCAACTTCGTAATTTGTTGTTAAATTCCATAGCTTTTTGTTTGTGTTTTGGTCGGCTGTTCGTTTGCTGCACTTTTCGTCTTATTTGCCAATTAGTGCGTACTTAAATCAGCGACGACGTGTTAGCTGATTTTTACGTTGCTCAGTCTTTAACATATAAAATTATTTTTGGAAAAATTTCGTAATATTTTACTGAAAGCATTTTTAAGTCGCATGTGTCACGCTTAAGCGATTGCATGCAGCCGCATAGCTTAAGTGCATAAGCTATAAATAAGTTTATGTAACTTTTGTCATTTAATTTTTTATTTGTTGTTTGTTACGTTTCTGGGAGTTTTGTACAAGTAATACTTATCATAAGCCTTTTATCAATTTTTATTTAAACTCACCTCATCCTTGCAATCCACATGGACTTTTCCACTGTCCAGAACTCGAAGAAGAGCCACCTCATCACCCCTCATTGCTGCCATGTGCAGTTGCACATCCGAGGGCGTCTCTTTCTGTTGGCATCGAAAACAGAATCAAATCAATTAACAATTTAGCCAACAGCAGCTGTCAAAATATAAATATATTTGGGCAGTGATACCGCCACACTGAGGGGCCAAAGACCCACTTTATAGCTGCTCCTCCACTCTACATCACCACCACATAGCTCCACCATCTGGGGCGCCACGTGGGGAAATTACTTTTCCTGTTTACAGCAATTAGGGTCAGAGCAGTAATGAACAAAAAAAAAGTTATTTCATACCGGATGTCGGATCACATTGAATGCATTTTTTCAAAATGAGCCCGTAACCCTGAGATGGGCATTTAAAAACATGTATTTGAATAAACAATATACGTATTAATCATTGTAAAAATAAATATTTTTTCTTTAAACATTTTTAACACTGTAATTAAATGAATTTGGTTGGTTACGGGTCGTATGAGTAATTAATAAAATCAATAAAATAATATTTAATCTTAGTTTCTTTGTTATTAATATATTAAGTAAATATTAATTTTAATATTTTTAACAAAGTACCTACAACTTTCCCATTTTTATATATAACGTTTTTATTTATAAGTATAAAATTTATTTGACTTTTTAATATACATTGTCAATATTTTAACCCTATTACTTTTAATGGGATCTCATTTTACTCTTAACTTTACTCAAGATATTTCTTTTATTACAAAAATAGCTCCAAAAAAGTCCCTGCAACCGTTCAAGGGTTAAATCGCATACCTGTCTCCCCAGAAACATTTACTAACGACGGTCACCCAAGTTGCAGCCAATGACCATTCGTGCAGAAAGGGAAATGCATTAAATATTTTTTCAAACTAAGTACGTTGGAAATGTCAACATTGCGCTAATGAAGCGAATTAAGTGCCCCAGTTGAGCCCATGTGTGTGTGTGTGTGTCTTTGGGTATTTCTGCCAGGTAGTAGGCACTGATGAAGTGGTCTAAAGCACCTGTTGAAAGACAAAGACAAGTGAAAACCCTCATATGAAAATGACGTGACTCAAGTTGCCAAGGGAAACAATGCAAATGCTGCTGCACTTTGAAATGACATAATGACAATGAAGACGGTGATGCCATCGTGATAATCACGTTGCCGATGCTGACGACAAAGATATATACATATAGGCAGCAAGTAGCAGGTGAGAAGCACTTTTAAAGCTTCAGACAGAATCCAGACAAAGGTAGATCTGATGGCAAACCATTGATGCAATTTAAATGCTTTTTTGGTAAATATTAAAGATAAATTACTCAGAGGCCTTCTCAAAAGGCAAAACTAATCAGACTCATTAGTTTAAATAACATAAGGGTATATGGTATGTTTTGAATTTGTTAATTGTCTCTAAGCTTATTATTTAAATTGAAATAACATAATTTTGTGCTTAACAAAACTCCGTTTATGATGAACTTTAGTTGCCTGCAGGTAAATTAAATATTTTATAGCGTAAGTCTCTTAACAGTTCTGCCTTCCTAGCATTTTATATTGCTGAGCTATAAAAATTAAACGATGGCTACTTGATAGAGATTTCCTAAGATGCACTTCAGTAGTTTTCGCAAAACTCCTTTCGTCCATTTGGCTTCTCCCATTTAGGAGCCATTAAACTCGATGCGAATGAGTCAATTACGTGTTATATGGGTCAATACTTGAGCATTTACTCACTTTAAGCGACATGCCTGCGGCTCCAATCTCTCCTGGCCTCCGGATCTGAGTTAGTGGGCTCTCCAAGCGATTGCACCTGCTTACAAGCCCGTTTCCATTGACCGATTTTACGAATACTGTAACGCTGCCCCGCCAGCTGCAGCTCCAACTTCCTATTGCAACCAGGTCGACGGGCAAGTGGCACCAAATCAAATCACAACAAAACCAGCAGCCGCACCAATAACAACAACAAAACGGGCCGCACTGGATGCGGCTTCATTGTCCAAGTCCAAGTGCAAGTCTAAGTGTAATTCCAAGCGACCAGTTCACCAAAAGTCTAGCACTGCAAATTGAGGAGAAAAATGAGCACAGCCAAAAGGCACGGGCCGTATTAAAATTAAGTTGCTACGAATATAACAGGTTTTCGGTCTCCAAAGCTTAGAATTAAAGTGCAAGAAGCCAAGGAAAAGAAAAAGTTGCAATCCAATTGGGAGGTGTTCCTGGGAAAAGGCCTGAAAACTAAGCTCTGGTGAAAGGTGAGGTTTTCACGAATCACAAAGATTAAATTTTAATTATTAAAAAAAAAATTATAAAAGATACAAGATATATAAATATTATTATATAATTTTAAATAAATCCTTTCCATTCAATATTATGATGTTTAATATAAGGTCAAGTATTCCTTCCTTTGTGCACCCATTTTCATACCAAAACCCATAAGTGCTTTCTATACCCCTTCGAGTAATTGCAGAGAATTGGCCTGCCAGTTCAATTTAATAATTCATTAAGGGAAAATGCTAATTTCCTGCAGATCGATAAGGTAGCCTTGTAAATTTGTAAAAAATAAAAGTAGAGTTTAGTAAGTCAAAAAAAGGAAAAAATATAAAAATAATTATTTTTTAACTTTCTCGTAAAATTTAAAAAATGAGTTCATCAAGCTTATAAAAAATAAACTACATTTACAAAATGTTTACTCCTTTAGTAAATAACATAAAATTTGAGAAAATATAGGGTTTGTATAGATTTTTTTTGCAAATCATGCTATGTTCCCTGTTGCAGCAGCAAAAGCACTATTCATTTTTTGCATGCTGTAATTTTTCCATCGTTAATAGGAACTCCCCTTGGAAATTGACAGGCGGTGCCTCAGATCAGGCCTGACTTGGCTCTATCAACACGCAACAAGCCAGTCAAAGTGAGGCATTTTCATTTTTCTTTTCTTTTTGTAGGCTTTTACTTTGTTGTACACGGCTTTATTAATTGCATTTCATGCAGTCGCACTTTTTACAGCTTTTCAGTTTTTTCTTGATATTTTTTTTTTATGACCATCAGTCCATCGTGATTATTGCGATGTTTCCCTTTTGCCTTTCAACTTTTGACCTAGAAAGTGTTTCAGTTTTGGGATTTTCTTCATGTGGCTTTTCATCATCATCATCTTCTGGGACAGGCACGCAATGTGTGCTGCTGACATCATGAGTTCACAGTTTTCATTTGGCTTGTAGGCATTCTTAATTGCCCCTTAGATATATTTTATTAGGACTTGGTTTTCATTTGGGAATATAAAGCCAATGTGGTCTGAATGAAGATTCCGTTAAAGACAGCCTGTGCGAGTTGGTAGTCAATTAAGAATACATTTTAAGACCAGTTACCCAAAAAAGGTGGTAATAAAGTTGACCAACTACATTTAAGAATATTTTAAATCAAACTTAAATTAATTCAACATCATTAAGACTTGGAAAGTATTTAAACATACATATTTTTTAAGCCCTTTTATAACAATGTATTCGTGTTTACAACTTCAAAGGTAAATAACAAACCAACTATTTATGTTTAAGTACAGATAAGCTAGCAAACTGATATGATGAATGTTATAAATGTTATAAACTAGCCATATACGATACCTCTATGCTACAGGGTTAATTGAACTGATAAGATAATTTTGACAGCCACTTTGGTATTTACCTTAATTTTTAAATGATCAATGGGTTTTTAAAAAAATGATTGCTTGGAACATTGTTCATGATTATGTTGCAACGCATTTCTCCAACTCTGTTATAGCCAATTATAGTTTGTTATAGATATTATTATGAGCACAATGATTAGTTTCACTTTCAATTCGTTTCATTTATTATTTTTCTGCTTTATTAGGGGTCTCGGAATCTTAGCTTTTTTTTGTTTGAGCTTATAAATAGCATCTCACGTTATCATGATCTCATTTAATTTTATCTTTTTGCTCTCGCCGGAACTTAGCGCGATGGTTTGGTGCCAAAAGATTATGCAAAAATGTTCATAATTTGCACAAACAAAAGGTCAACAGGCGCCCGACCACTTGTGAATCTCACCTCAAGAAGTTTCAGTCCCAAAACACAGAAACCCAACTATCAACAATAAACCAAAAGTCATGCCGCTTGGGTTTTCGAAAAACAAACGACGCGAAGTCGACCGATTGCTTTCAAAGTTGGCGAGCAACTGAAAAAGTTAAATCCAAAAGCGAGCGGGAGAGCCATAGCTTTATTTTGTAGTATCACCCAGTAGTTGTAGGGTATATGGGTTTCTATTGAAAGATTTTAGGTTTTAAATGAACTAAATAATATTTTTTTCTCAATAGTAACTCGGGTGGGGCACAGAAAACAGTAGGGTTTAAAAAAAGTATGCAGTGAAAAATAAAACGAGGTTATTCTTAACGAATTCATTGAACTTCTGGACTCAATAAATATTGTTGCAAGCTTTCAGACACTTTTATAAGTGATGTCAAAACCCTAGTAACCCCCCATGTCTAGACTTTGTGCTGGATTTCTCTGCCTGTTAAGAACGTAAATACCATATTATTTTTATATTTTGTTTTGATACAAACAGGGTATTTTTATCTCGATTTCCTGAACTTAAGCTACTGAGTCAGAGAGACAGAGCAACAAAGATCTCAAGTGCAACTCACAAAGAGTCTGACCTCAGGCGCCGCTGTTGAAAGTTCATTGAGTATACAACGCCTATAAATAGGCAACGTGGAATGTAAATTCCGAGACATGGCGCGCATTAAGCCGCGATTAAAACAAACACCCCCATTTCTACACCCACTCCTCCACACACACGCGAATTCGTAATAAAAGTGGCAAAACTAACGGAATCCGCTATTCCATTGACGAAAATTGCTGCTGACATCGAGCGAGGTCAAAAAGAAGTACCCCCCAATTCGCCCATTCCATCAGAAGCAATCACTGACTGACTAATTTTTGGCAAAATCAATACTCACATGGCTGAATAAAGTAAATCCCTCCGGTCACGGATTATAAATAATGTATTAGGGAGCACTGATGGGAGTCATTTATTTGATGCACCGTTAGATATGCAATAGAATTTTCCCGACTCTAACTTTGCAACCTACACTTAGGCACCAAGAGTGTGACCAGTCTTTAAAAGTAAGAAAACGTACAATTATTTGATAAAATTAAGATTTCGGTATTTTTGCAATTCTAACAAACACAAACGGAGGCAGAAATAAAATATAAGTATATATAAAATAATTCTTTATTTATTTACTATTTACTTATTATTTACTATTAAATCATTGAATTAAATAATAGCAAGCATTGTACAAAATAAGATTAAAGCGGTCATCCCAAAATGTAGTACCCAAAAAGCCCAACCAGAGGGCGCCAAGCCCAGCGCAGCCAACTTCACGTCCAGCTGTCACTTCTTTCTCTTTTTCGCCTCCACCGACGAGTTGCGGTCGCTAGATTTGTAAATTTCTACAAAAAAGTGAGTTTACCTGTGGCCGCAAGCCATCAAGAGTTGATTAATAAGGCAATTGTTTTCCCCTCCTTGCAGCCCCATAAAATGGAGAACGACGCCGGTGAGAATGTTGATCTGTACGTGCCCCGCAAGTGGTAAGTGAAACACGTGTTCCCCGCGCATTTCGGTGGCCAGATTATTGATACCCTCTTGTGCAGCTCGGCATCGAACAGGATCATCCACGCCAAGGATCACGCCTCCGTGCAGCTGAGCATCGTGGATGTGGACCCCGAGACCGGTCGCCAGACCGACGGTTCCAAGACCTACGCCATCTGCGGCGAGATCCGTCGCATGGGCGAGTCCGACGACTGCATCGTGCGTCTGGCCAAGAAGGACGGCCTCATTACCAAGTGAGTTGATCCTTTAGTGATCCCGAAGGCATTTCCTAATCATTATTCTCTCCCTTGCAGGAACTTCTAAATGTTTCTTATCAAAAAACAAGATCTTGATTTGGTAATAAAGCGAATTCCCTTTGTAATTTAACGTGAAACGTTCGCATTTGTGTATTTACTTTTGGCATAAACAATGTCGGGAAAGTGTCGAGCTCCGGTTTTGCAGATCTCAGAAGTGGCTTAGGCCCAGTCAAGGAGCAATCCAGTTTTATGATGAGAACTCAACCCAACTTTCCTGTTTACTAAACTTTAATTTTGGCGCTTTAATATGAACATAAACAGGGATTGAGGAAGTCGTTCGTACAAGATTTAAAACATGACATGAAACGCTCTTCTGTTTTCTGCAATCAATTAACATATAAGGCAAGCACACCTTGATATAAAGGTCTTTAATCTGTTGGTGAAAGGTAAGAATTTCAGTAAGCAACATCAAGGAGTTAAATGTGTTCGATTAAATAAGTGCTGAGATGTCACTTCTGTCTGTGTAGCGTGCGACTTAGATTTTTGTTAATATCCTGAAAACCAACAATTGCCTCAGTCTTAGCACAAATTATAGTGATTTACAAGAGCTATAAAAACCGCCTTTTGTAAAAATAAATAAGATTTTACCAAATATCAGAAACCAAAAAAACAGAAAATCATAAAAACTTTGACATGACATAAGGGTTGTTTATTGTCCATAAGAATTTATTCATATAGTATTGTGGAATAAAGTTAAATGACTACCTGTTTCAAGATTTAAAATGCGAAAAATTTAAAACAAATTTTGCAATTTTAGCAAATAGTATGACCGTTACGCAAAAATCAAAAAAAGAAATGTTAGCGAAGCGTCGAACTAACAGAAAAAGATTTTCTTCGTTAGGGATGGATTAACATCGATAATCCCTGCCAAACATCGATAGTACCGATATTTTGAACAATCGATGTTGGCATCGAAGTTTCACCACCTCTAGAAGAAGAAAGTAAAGGAGAAAGAGCAGGAAAACAACACATCTAGTCGCGTCGTCGAAAAAATCCAAAAAATTAAATCACGGGAGCATAAAAATAATAACCAATTCCCATCCTTGGGGACAAAGGCTACAGTGCGTTTGTAGTTGTAGTGGTTTGGGGCACAAGCAGTTGGGGTACCAAAACAAACAAAGAAAAAGGAACCCAATTGGAAACGGGGAAACTGCGCGTCCTTAAAACAATGTGAAAAAACAACAAAGCGAAAACAAATTGTGAAGTAACGTCCCGAATTACGAAAGTTTATGTAATGCAATAGGACAACGATTGCCACATTGAAGCCACTGCAACTTGGACAGTATTTAACCGTCTTTTACTTTTCCATTTCCGCAAAAAGTATACGGTGAGTGGGTGGTTCATTTCTACATTATCTAGCATACACAAAACAAAGCATAATAATCGCTTATGTCGCGTGCTAAATGTCTGACTCATTGACGAGTGATTCCAGGTGCACGGTACTCAAATTGACTCACTGTGATCTAAACAATACCTAGGTTTGAATGTATGCACAGATAAACGAATGAAATACATAGCAGCTATTGCTGCTTAAAAAGTTGATTTGTTAGTACTAAATAGTCGTTTTTAAATGTCAGAATGTGGAGAACAATTGTTTTTTTTTCATATCATAAAAATGTTCACTACTAAGTTGTTTAGATACCGCTGAAAACAGTACATTTTTAATGTTTTCAAACGTAACACCTTAATAATATTCTACAGCCAATACCAAAATGATAGTCTTGCCAAAATCTTACTTTACAAGCGCAGATAAAAATATCTATATTCTATATTGCTTATTTAAAACCTTGACATTTAAGGTGTGCTTTGCTGTTTGACACTCTCCCCTCTTTTTCGTTCCACTGTGCGCCGCCCACTTTCCGCCCAGTGCACTTGCACCTAAATTGCACTCAATTCGCACCGAGTGTCTCTCCTTCCTCTCTCTTCTTCGCCGCGTCATTCGCCATTAGTAACGCTTCCCAACGAACATTCAAACATAGATACACACACACACACACACACACAAGTCCATTCACTTTATTTGGCTTTTGCGCTTTCAATTTTGTTTTTGTTTTCCCATATGATTTTTTATCATTTGCGCCATTAAAACTGAAATTATCTAGGTGTCCGCAAATAAATATCTGTGTCTATTTGCTTGCACTCAAAGGTTGATTGGCGGGTACAGGGAACCCTTGCCTCTGAATGACAAATGGTCGTTAAATGGTGAGTGCGAAATTAAAGCACTAATATTTCGATATGACGTGAGCTGATAAACACTGAAAAGTAAATTTAAAGGAATTTGAACCGAAATTTATGTACATGCTTTCTGCCACATTAAGTATACGCAAAGTATTTTTAGGTAAGCAGCCATGGAAATGGTAAATGCCTTAAAAGTTATAGAAAAATGTTTGTTCTCTTCCATTTTAATTTAACTTATGTACTCAATGATTCTTTGAATATCTTTTAATGTACTACTTGGCAATTTATAAGGAAAATAATTGTTAAATAAAAATAATGCTGAGAACTGTATTATTTGTCATGTTTTAAGAATTTTGGCATATTTTCTGCATTTGTTTAAATCTTGTGTTTTCTGACAACTCGTGTTTCTTTTGAATAATTCTAGAACTTAGATTTTTTGTAGAATCTCTTTAATGGAAGCCCCTTGTTATTTTTATTTATTTTTCTTACATTTTTTTGTTTAAGTTTCAAAGGCTGAAACCGGTAAACAAATAGTTGTTTGGGTGGATCCCTGTGGGATCGACAGTTTTCACTTTCCCAAACCACACACGCAATGCTGACGCGTTTCGTTTAAAAGTGATTCAATCAGTTTAATTGATCGCCGCTGAGCAGTCGCATTCGATTGTCCGCAGTACAAGTGCAAGCGTATGTATCAATTTTTTTGTTTACACTTATGATTTGTCTGCAACGCTCGCAATTTCCCCGTACACGTTAGGCCAAAAGGTCAATTTCTGCACACTTCTTCGCAAGAGATCCACTTAGTTCGTTTACATTGATTACACCGTTTGCCTTTCCAAGTTGCGATGGCACGCGCTAAACGACCAAATGTCGGGGGAAAAAGGCGATATAGGCGATAATATAGGCAGTCCCCGAGGAATTTGGAATGTAAATGTAGTCAGAAAATTCTGTATTCTGTATAAAATCACGCGCTGCACTTTCGGTTTGGGAAAATACACAGCCGGTTAGGTTAGGCATTGGATTTATTCATTACCCTCCTTCAAGGACTTTGTCTGGTAAAACCCAAAAGTTTAAGAAGTTTATACCTCATATGTTTTACCGAGTGCAGTTTAAGGGAAACGCCATTAAAAGTTTTTGACTTTTTCCAAGTAAAAGCCACAGTTTAGAAGACTTTATATTTCATTAAACATTCACATCGAGTCACAAAAACGATTACATATTTTTCTTATAGGAAGGAGGATAGATATGGACATTGTCGACATAATTTACTTCTTTTTGGCTCTTACAATAGCAATAAATAATATTTATATTTATGTGTTATACCTTTTGGCCCCAACCCAACAAAGTGGCCATTTTTTCATCAACCCCTTGTCTGCCCTATTTCTCTTTCTTTTGCTTTTGAGGGACCTTGTGGGTGACTTACTTTTATTTTATTTGGCGGCGGCTGAGCTTCTTATGGTTTAAACATTCATTTGTGACACACATGTGGCAGTCGAGTATATAGCTAACATCAGCGCTTCTCTTTCAGCTTACGCTTAGCAGAACTTAGTGGGTCAAAGTTTGCACTCATATTCAGTCCCGTCCAATAATCGTAGCCCTCAAATGGATTCTTTGTGAGTACTTAGCGAATGAAGGTGTTGTTTCGCTTAGAATCAATTTACCCGCATGACCTGTTTATTTAAAACGTAATCTGCATGGAAATGTTGTTTTACAGTAGTTTCCTCTAGAAATCTGCTCGCTGATTTATTACGGTTGTGAATAAACAATTATATATCGAACTGCGAAGTCAATTAAGTTAAAATATTTATCCATGTAGCGCTGTATAATGCGGACGTCAATTCTTTGGATTTGCGTAATGTCTGAAATAATGATGCAATTAGGGAGAATATAAATTGCGTCTGTCTCTAGCAAACATTTAAAATTGTTGGACATGGCGGATATATTATATTTTCATTTGCCACGTAACTTAAACTTTGTCATAATGCGCCAAATTGTGATTCAATTTTTCGAAGAGAAGTCTATCAGCACTCTCTTTTTCATTCTAATCTATGTGTCGTATGAATTTTTTCACTGGACTTTAGTAATAAGAAAACGAGCAACGTCAGCGATAAAAAACCAAGTTCATGAGAAATTTGGGGGTGTGTATAACTAAACATTAATGAATGATTAAAAAGTAGTAGGGAAATATTTATCTAATGTAAAGCAAATAAGATAAGATATTTCTGGATAAGATAAAAAACATAATTGCTTACTTACAATTACAATAGGAACTTTTGATTATTAAATGAGTCATACCTATCATAGCCCAAATATAGTACTCTTAAGGTATTTAAGTCATGACTGTAGACTATAAATTCCGACGATTTATTGTACTCCGGCAAAATGACTCAACAGTAATATTAATATTTTTTGCAAATTAGCTTAATTCTTAAACACTGCTCAGCTGAATAATTTGACTACGTTCAACATTTAACTGGATTTAAACCGGATGCTTACCGGCTATTTCTAAAGCGGTTTCAATTAGAAGAGTGAAACCTGAAAAGAAATTATATAAGCCAATATATGCAAAAGTCAATTATCATAGATTGTTTAAAGTTTTAAATTGGATTTAATCTAAGGTAATTATTTTGTCACTTCAATCGTGCCCAGCAAGCTTTCCGAAATGATGTGTTTATGATTTCAATTACCAAGCGAGGAGTGGACCAAATATTCATTCACTCAATAATCGCTTCAATTAGCAACTCGATGGCTTCACGTTTCATGGGATAAAGCCTTTGAGTCGACAAAGTTTCTGTTGGATTATTCGGGGTTTCCTTTTAATGAACACTAATGATAGCTAAATAAAAATTAATTGACTTATGTACGCCCTAAACTCTTTTGGTAAACTTTTGGGCGCAGAGGACGGCTTCACTTGGCAGTGAATTTAATTTTAATTTGAAGGTCGTGAGTTTGCTATTTAATTGGGATGGGCAGAGTATTCTTCACTTGTTTGTTCAATTTATTATCAATCAATTCAGTCACCTAGACCTCACGTAGGCCGAAAACAACATTTCAAATGCTAATACTGTCTTGCTGGTGTCACTGTTGTGCAATATATTTATTTGTTTACTGGCTTTCGGTACATTTAACCTTCGCCAAGTGTATGTACGTATGTATAAATGCTTTGCTATCTCGAGGAATTATCCGCCCGCTCCTTGATTCTTGCCAAATTACACCCCAAAAACTTTCCTTTTGTCAACTTGCCCTTACAAGGGCACAAATACAAATAGGTATAATTTTTCTTTCAACGTTTTCAAGCACTTACTATAATGTCATTTATGGGCGTAACAGGCACGACACATCCATATACTTTTGTACTTTATACTCAAAGCGAGTAACAGCCGTAGCAATTAGTTGCTTATTTAATATTCTGCGTTGAGCGAATCCACTTAGAATGTGTGTGCACCTCAAGCGCGTAATCAAATTAAAATTACCATGCATTATTTGAGACATAATGAAGGAAGCGAGTCGAGTGAGATAGCGTGCAGTCCAAAAAAAAAAACAGCTCTAAAGTGGGCTAGCCAAGAGCAATCGCAAAGAAAGCTATAGGGGCAGTACTTATATGTGTGGTGTCGTGACGTGATCAACATTATGTGTTTGCATTGTCGGTACGTGTAAATAAAACTCAGGCAAACCCACAACTCAGTTATGCGTTCGTTCAACCAAGAGCCCTGAGCTTGGGACCATCTATATCTCTTTATCTTCAGAGCTCTGTGGCCAGTGAGCTACCTAGATCAAACAAACCAGTTGAATATAACTCTCAGCTGCGAGCGTTGAAAAACTAGTTTCAAAGCTTGAGTTTTTTTATGTTTATTTTACCTAAAACCAAACTTGCTTACCTGTGCAGGGGAGTCACACTTTTGATTAGACAGCTTGGGGAGGTCGATAAGTTAATAAAAAAAGATATATACAATATTTTTTTAGAAATTAACTTGTTATTTTGTTAGGAATAGTGGAAAAGATTTACATTTACAATGTTGGTTTAGTATGATTTTTGCTGCATAGTATATACTAAATTAACATCGGTAAATACGTGTAATTATAAACGCAAGATTGTATTTCAAGCTTATTAGTAAATAACCAAACGGGTATTATAAATGGTTTACTATACTCAATTAGCTTCTACTTAAAATTATACAACATTTTAATTTGTTTACAAATGTGTACTTTCGTTCGTACTCATTAAGATTTGCTCCCGCGACCTGTTAAATATAATAATCTTCTGCATTCATATTTCATATTTACTGATAAGCTATTATGCAATTAAAATATTTCAACGCTTTATTCAGTACTCTGTTGGATACCGCGATAGGCCGTTAAATTTATTTCAATTTCCAGAAACTTTTTGGGATAAAAAAAAAAATGGCAAGAATTTGTCTGTTTGTTTATGGATACATTTATTAAGCCAAAGCGGACGGGGCCGCCAACTCGTGATGGAAATTAATTGCCGACTTGCTGTTGGGTTAATAAAAAGTACGAGTACGCAGCACTCGAAGAACTGAAACTGCCTCCACTGCCTTGGCGATAGCCACTCAACAGTAGTTGAGTTAGGTTGAGTGGAAGAGCACTGGGAGAGCGCAGAGATATACTCTTTGACTCGTATAATATATATTTATATGTGTATTCACACCCGGCGGAGGATCGGCTGCAAATATACTCACTTCAGTCTGAAAACTTTGCGACTCGGGCACTGATCGTTCGGTGGAGCGTTCCATTAAACTTATCGGAGATACATATGTGCAGGCAGTGGCAGTCAAACAACTCATAAATATATCGCCACATACCGCGTTTTGTGTGTTTTTTCGTGCTATTTTTGTTACAACACAAAAAGGAAGCCAGTGCTGCTTAAAAATAATACAAAATAAACTAATGGATATGTCCGCACCGCATTTGCACTTTGTGGTTTCCCATGATCGTCTGTGCATCAAATGAAACCGAAAGCGAAACGCAGAAAGTTAAATTTATTACAATGGTGGGTGCCTATTATCAGACCATCTGGGCAACACAGCGTTTGCCTGCTGCTTGTGGATTACTTGAATTTCAATATTTCCGCTCTATTAAGCTTCCCCTGGGTTCATCAACGCCCCAGTACAAGTTCCAGATATAATAGACAAATTAAATTTCAGGCTTTGCAGGCATGACAATTTCTTATCATAATTCAAGTATATACAAAACAACAAACATAAGCATTAGTAAAAAAAAATGTAAAACAACCCAGTGCATTCTATGACTCAGTTATCATAAAGATCTTTTAAAATATAATAAAAGTATACGATATCGAAGAAAGATCGATATCGGGAAACCCCTGAAATAGTTCACTACATTTACTAGTACTTATCAAAGTTTTTTAAACTATATGCCTAAGTAAATTAATCAATTAAGTTATGCAACACCATTAAAATTTGGTTCTTTGTTTGAGACAAAACATTAAAATTTAGTAGACTGACTACTAAAGAAATGTGTTACCTTCGTTTTTTAGATATAGTAAACTTTGCAAGATATACAAGATAATTTCGATTAATTATTTCTTCTTTTGTGTGCAAAAGCTTCACGTTTTACTTGAAAATTTCTCTCTCAGTTAGCTTTGTCTTCGACTTTTGATTGGCTTTATCTTATCGCCAGTTTGTCGCCATCAAACTTGTTGTCAGCTAAAAAGCTAAACTAATACAGTCGACTAAAATGGGAAAAACAGCCAAATGAGTGTGCAAATGCATAGCCTTAACACCTTATTTATGGTTTGTAAGCCGGCCTTTTCTATTGTTTGTATTCAGCCTAAAAACGGATTTTCAAATACGGCAAAACATGATTTATGAAGACTGAAGACTTAAATTTATATCCACTTTTTCTAAGAATAAAAAAGTAATGCTTGTGTAGAATACAAAAAAATTAAAAAGTTACCTAACGAAATACTCTTTTTAATTATATTTGCATTTATGCATTTGTGAGAAAAGATTAAAAACTACAAGTCATTTAAGCTAAAACCCAGCAGCATATATACTATATATCCAAATATAAATCTATTTTATGGCTTTGGTAAACAATATAAAACCTTCAGTTTATGGCTATATATTTTAAAAAGCTATAAACATTTTTAACGTTGGGCAGTAAAAATAGAACAGCTTTTTCTAAGAAAAAATGCTTATCAATGATAAAAATGGTTGAGCTCTGTGCAACCGAGAAAATATAGTAGCTGTGACGAAAACAACGACCCTATAACCATTAAAAACAAATGTTGCAATTAGCAGAGAAATGGTAGTTAAGCTTTTCACTGTAATTAATATCCCAGTTAATGGGTAAGAATTTTCGGTTAAGTTTTTCCGCCTCGTCCCGCCCTCATCTACCCATTTATCAATGTATTTGAGCAAATCAACGAGAACAATTCAATTGGTTAATGTAGAACGACAGCTCAATGGAATTGCAGCTTGTAGCCTGTCGGTCCCAATGCTGAATTGGTTTTTATTTTTATATTTTTGATATTGTGGGTGTCAAGTTGCTGGCAGGCATTAATATCGATGCCTCAGTCTCCTGCCATTTCCGATGCCCATGTGTGCCTTTTGATTGATGGACGGACGGACGGCTGTTGTGCTCGCTTAGAATCGTTGCTGGCATAATAATGCCAAATGCCCATGGGCCCAGTTTTGCCATTTACCTTCCTGCAATATTCCATCCTCTGTATTCCATCAGCGCCCTTGGGCGCTGTCAGTTGTTTGTTTGGAATCAGTAGGGTTGGGCACTGTATTTTGAAAAACATATTTAAATATTTATTCAATATAACTAAACTCAATATTTAAATATATTGTTTCTAATGGTCATGTCAAGTGATCTTAAGTTCTAAAACTTTCCTCTCAAATGCTTTTGAATAGATAGACAGGACATTGATCCTAACTAATTTTAAAGCTCAAAAAAATATTTTTACTTCAAAATGCAGATTTTGGAGAATATCAGTTTTCCTTTGTATTGTTGCATGCTTTGAAAGTGTAATTAGGTTGTTCCAGTTGAAGTAGAGAGTACCCCTAATGCCACCATTGACTTGGGTCGGCTGTGCAAACATTTGCATTTGCTTTTAGAGCGAGCAGCCCAGACACCCAATTCAATGTTTATTTAAATGACACCCTTTGGCTCCTCGCCACGGGATGGCTGCTTGTTTGCTTGTTTGTTTGGTCTATCCAGCTAAACCATCGATTGGCACAGCCTTGATGAATTAATTAAACTCATGGAATTCCTTCTATTTGCAGTTGATTTAATATAGGATGCTGCCCAGCCTGGATACCTTAATGCGTTGCTCGAAGCGAGTTCTGCAATCGCCGCTGGAGGTGGCGGCGGCCAGCCAGATGCGTAATGGCCACAGCAAGTCGTCCGCCGGGGGCATCTACGGTCCCTTCACGCCGGACAACGATCTCAGCTGCTCGGGACGCGGCGATTGTGTGAACAACACCTGCGTCTGCGACATTCGGTATGCGGGCAACGAGTGCGACATCTTCAATCTGCCCTACTATGCCGGAATTTCCACCGTCTTCTATGTGGTGGCTCTCGTCTCGGTCATCCAGCTGCTCATCTGCATCGTGGCCGAGTACCAGCGGCTCAAGCAGCCCTCCATCCTACGCGCCTGTCGCATCACCACCCAGAAGCTGCTCTACTTCATGGTCTTTGTGGCGGCCTCTCTGCGCGGTGCCTACTTCACCACTCCCGTAAGTAGTCGCTATACAGTAGGTCATTAGATCAGTTCATTTAATCATTTTCGATTTGTTTTTTCAGTTGGATCTGCAGCCACAATGGGCCGTAACCCTCATGTCCGCCTATTATCCATTGCTCATGACCTGCGCCTCGCTGATTGTCTGCATGTGGGCCGAGGTGAGTCAAAGACGGAAGAATTCTTCGATAGCAGTAGGGGAATGGATATAGAATGTCAGATCTATCCTAGTCAGTCATAGATATCTGGAATTTTAGAACATTTTACAAGTTTGACTAAAATATTTTATGGACGAAAGCGCAAAGACCAAAAAGGTTAATAAGATCTTGTAAATATTGTAGATCTTGTGGATCCTAAAACTAAATGGCTAATAATAATGTCATCTTTTAAAAAAACTCTTTGGTCTCGGATGCAAATTAATGTATTATATTTATACAATAATTTGTAAATGCTTTGAAATTAACAAAAGTGTCTTTAAAGCCAATGATTGTTGCTTCTGAACAATCCAATTTTAACGGTCCGAATAAAATTAATAGATTATTATTATTAAATATATCAAAAACTTAGAGTTGGTTATGTAGTTTCAATTATAATCTAATTTCAAATAAGTTCCTTCTAAAAACAATTGAACTATAATTTCTTTTTACATAACTTTATATTTATTCGGTTCTGTTTTTAGTGGTTATTATCCCGAAAGTAGAACATCATACTATTTAAAGCAAGAGCAAGCCTTACCATATTTAATGTTATTTTCATCTTTAAGAACTTCTGAACGGCAAGAACGCATTACAATATAGATAACGTATCTTTGTTGCTAGCAAATTTAATAAATTTCTATGATAATTTTAAGCTAGGTGGTATTTCTTGTCACGAGTCCACCACTAAGTTAAAAAGTAATCAGCTACGAAATGGCGATTGAACAGCCTGACGTAGCACCCAAATCATGAAAACCATGGGAATAACTATGACCAGCTGAACTCTATATGGTGCTCGATAATATGAGCACTGTGTGGCACTAAAATGCGTCCACTTGTACTTGCCATATTTTCTCGTATCTAACGAATGCGATAGCGAGAGTCGAGTGCAATTGTACCCGCAACTCGAGCCAATTTCATTGTTTTTCGCAGAACGTAACTGGGGCCTGAAAGCGATAGGCTAGCACAATAAATTAGGTTTTGAGGCGAGTGTGTACGCGTACAGTTGCACTTAGCACTTGATCTGAAAATAGAAAATGGAAACACTGTGGGTGGGTGACGCTCTGGAGCGAAAGCCAGTCGGTACTATTATTCATTCACACTTGTTCTGTTCACCGTTGCAGATCTTTCACCTGCGCGACATTCGTTGGGAGAAGTCGCAGTTCCTGTCGAAGAGCTTCCTCGGCTTTGTGGCCTTCAACTTCTTCCTGTACAGCCTGTTTGGCATCGAGGTCTTCAACTCGCTGATCAATTCGAAGCGCCGCGACTACGCCCACATCTTCAACGGATGCTATGCAGTATTACTCCTGATCGTGGTGGTCTTCTTCCTCATCTACGGCGTCGAGGTGTTCTTCAAGCTGCGCGGCGGCTTCGTTTACGATCAGACGGGCAAGATCCTGGGTCCCAGCGAGGCGATTGTGAACGCCTCGCAGTTGCATCAGTCCCGACTCGGACTGCTCAGCCAGGCCGCAATGCTCATCGTGATTGTGGGCTTTCTCACCTCCGAAACTCTGGGCGACTTCTGGAAGGCCAAGTGAGTGAAGCTTTCAATTTGAATCGCAGCTGCTTTTTGCTAACTAAATACAATTATTTTCGTAGGGTTCCTGTTAACTCGCGCAACTGGCATGACATCATTTTTCGCATTGCCGAGATTGGAGTGGCCCTGTGGTTTCCCTGCTGCCTCTGGAACTCGATGGCTCCCGAACAGCTCTGGATTCTGAATCCTCGCAAATTGCTATCCCGCCAAATCGATCCATCGATACCCACCCTAAATGCCGACACCAATAAGTTGTCGCCCGAGGAGGGCCAGTCGTTCCTGACCAAAAAGGACTGTTGGATTTGCTACGACTCTGACAAGCCGGAGCCCCTCATCCAGCCATGTCGTTGCACCGGCGATGTCAGCTCCGTGCACCACGAATGCCTCAAGCGCTGGCTGGTGGAGAGCTGCAGCAACTCGGAGGCCCAGTTGTCCTGCAAGGTCTGCGGTCATCCCTACGAGATCGAGAAGTCCAAAAAGTAAGTTTTAATTGCTGATAAAACTTCCAGTAGCATTTATGGTGGTCCTAATAAAGTCGATTTTCAGACATTGATATCACCAAATTTATGTTACTACCGATGATAAGGTTTTTTTTATCGCCATGTCTCGATTATCATTTCCGTAAAAAACCAAAAATAATAGTCGATATAAACCACTTTTATAAATTATACAAATTATAAAGTAAATAAAAATTTTTTTTTTTAAATGGTAAAAAAAGCAAAAATACTTAATTATACTTCTAGTTAAATAAATGAATTTTTTATTAGGGAAACTATTGTGATTTAAAACTTTTAACGATAGCTTACTTCCAAAAGCATTTATGCATATTAAAAAGTAAATTAAGTTAAGGGTATTTTAAGATTTTCATAGAAAAAAATAGAGCAAATTCAATACACAAAAGAAACTATTTCTTTTACGATTACGAATTTCTTAAAAGTAAACAAAACAATAGATTTTTATTTAACATGTTTCTTGTTTTACAGACTCGAATGGGACAAGGGTTTTACCATCCAGCATTGGTCCAAGACGGTTATATTGATCACCCTGATGTGCGTGACCGGAGCCACCGCCTGGGTGGTCATTCAGATGTACGTCGATCCGTTGGTGCGAGTGATGACTGTCGGCATTGCCGTGCTCATTGGCTACGTGTGCGTCAAGTGTCTGGGCGAGAACACCGTGGTGGCCTATCAGCGGGCCAAAGTCAGCTCAATCAACATCGTGACCAGCTCGGAGATGGAGAAGCTGCACACCATTTGCGAGGAGGTAAGCGCCGCCAGCACCTCGGCAGCAGCGGCTCGGACGGGAGCGGCCTCCTAAGACGCTAACAAAAAGGACCTTCGCTCAAGGAGACACACACATCACCCACACATCAGCTGAACTTACACAGACATTACAATCTACTTATACCTAGTTTAGAATGCGTTTTGCACACATTTTGCTCAATGCTCAATTATTAGTTAACACACATCACACGTGAGGTGGGTGTCCTGGCACACCTGCCTCTATATCCTCAACTGTGTACATAGGTTTAACAAAACACGTCAGTGATTAAGAAAGAGTTGCGAAAAGCGTTTCGATTAGCGAGTCAATTCTGTCTCTCAAATTATCATGCAGATTTCCAAAAGCGAATTGTATTAAAAGAAGCCAAATATTATGTAGTAGTATAAGCGTAGGTCAGTATCAATTGCAAAAGCCGAAACAGAAAGAAACGAGAACATCCTGAGATTATGATTATGAACGCGTTGCCAAGTAGCCTGAAAAAAAGCGAAGGAGCAGAAAACAGAGCTTCGATGCGCCAGTGAGTCAGCCCATGCTGATCTGTAGTTTATAGTTTTCTATTTTTTACAACCTATTTATTAAAGCATTCTGATTTGCTCCACTTCAGTTTCATCCGATTTCATCCTTGGATGTTATCAAAAAACCAGCAAAACACAAGTACTTGGCGAATATTAAATTAAGCAAATAAGTTTTAACTTTGTATTCGATTGGAATAAGTTTCTTACTAAATCCTAAGTTAACCCTTTAAGAAGCTAATTTATACAATATGTTGCTCCCACATATACATATGCACGTACGTATATAATATATATATATATATGGATATATATTCACATTTTATTGTAGTTGCTACACAAAATTTGTCAAAGCAAAGAAAAACAAAACAAAAACCACAAAAGAAGAAAAATCCAACATATAATTTAAGCTACCATACAATTTTTGTGATAAAATAAATAAAATACAATTTATAAAACTTTAAGTATTGTGGTTTTTATTTCAATTTCCTGCAATTATTTTTGAATAAGTTGGATACGTCGAAAAACCCAAAAAATGGGTAATAAAATAAAATTAAACTTATTGATGAATTTATTCAAATTTGTACCTCCTGCCAAGCAGTTTTATTTTCTTTTAATGAAAAAGAACTATAGTTCTTCCAATGTCACCAGATAAAAACGCATTTAGATTAGTTTTTGTTTAAGCCTAAAATTTATTTTACACGTATCTACTACAAAATATATGCATTATATAGCTTACTCAATATGCGTAATAAAAGCCATGTCATGCTATGACTAACTTTTGTATTTTTGCATTTAACTATTTTAGCAACATTAAAGCAGAAATGTTTTTTTTCGTATATTTGTAATGTAAAAAAAGATCAACAACGTAAGAGGTTACCCGAATCGAAAAGCGTACAAGTACAAGCTAGTCGTAACAATCGCAGCGTAAATTTTAACTTCACAAAATATAAGATCCAAATATGGAGCCTGCATTACAGACAGTTAGACAAACACAACTACTGCGCAACCGATAAATATTTAATATTATTTAAACAATGGCTCCATCGTGTGGATGATAATAAACTATACCAATTTTGTTTTATTATCCTGATGAATTATCCTAAATTTAGACTTAGTTCTTCAGCTTTGGCGACGCTTTGCCTGGTTCAAGCTAAAATCAGAAGCAATTCAACTAGTGTGTCCAGAGAGTTGGCTATCGGGTTTTGAGATGGTTGTGTTTGGGGTCGAGTGTGTGTGAGTGGATGGGCTCAGTTGATGGAGAGGAGTATGCATTTAAGTGACAACGGCCGATCGCTTGTCACGGTTCTTTCCACGGGTTATCGAGCGTGCCTTGAATGCAGCCGCATTGACCAGGTGCTGAAAATAGAAAAATATGAAATTAAAACTTACAAATCAACAAAGGATTCTTTTTTAAATTAACATACCCGCTCCAGCTTCGACTGCTTCACCTTGGCGTTGCCATTGATGCCAGTGTTGGTGGGACGCGATCCCAGCTGGAAAATATCGCGAATGAACTCGTTCTCCTGCAGCTGCGAGGTCATCCCGGGACCCATGACCGTGCACAGGGCCGAATACTGATGGTGTATGGACCAGGCATCTAGGGTCAAGGACTCGTGACCAAAACGAATGCTTATTTCCGGCGAAATGTCCTCCTGCAATAATTAAATAAAATAAAAGACATTTAATCCAGGTAGGCTAAGCCAAGTAATTCCAATCTAATGTTATAAATTGTAGACATTAATCACTTTTTATTTTAGCTTCATGTAAAGCAGACTAAATTTTTTGTACGCGACAGAAATTTCTTGTAATATACAAAAGTAAAAAAAAAAGTATTTGGCATATTTCTTTTTTGCAATTTTTTTTTATAAAATTCGCTGTCAAGATGATGCTATCAACCTATCAGCATGACTATGTGCCGCCCAATGCCAAGCGGTACGAGTTCCTGACGCGACCAAAGGGCTTGGAGGGCCACGTGGGTCCGCAGGTTATCGAGTGCGAATGCGTGGATGAGGCTAAGATCAAGATGCCGCCCAGTGCCTCCAAGGATTGTGCCGGCGTTGAGTGGACGGGCATAGCGCCAATGGGCAAACTGGTGGATCCCCGACTCATACCCACCCAGCTGACCCAGGATCAAGTGGACAAGATGGCCTTTTCGGCGGAGACCGATTGCTTTAAGCTGCAGCCAAATCGCTTCCTCAAAATCTTGCGAACCGTCTACCCGGATCTGTACGAGCGATTGAAGGTTCTGCCCAAGGAGGAGCTGAGTCGCAGGCTGGAGACCAACCGCATGTTCACCACCTATCAGATCGACTACTGTGCCATGAACGAGTATCCCGAGGGCATATACGAGAGTCTGAAAACAGAGGACGAGTCCAAGAATGCCAACAAGCTGATGAGTGAACGAGGACCCTGCAATGAGTTCCGCTCGAATGTGATGAAAGAACTGGAGCGGGATAGTTCTACTGGCTACGAGGTGACCAGCGACGATTGCCAGAAGACGTACAAGCCATTCAAGACCAGCTTCTCGGACTCCTCGCAAACCATCGAGTCCGGCAGCAATTCGCATTGGAACTCGGCCCCGACCACGTACCGAAAGGTGCCGACCTTCAGCGAATACATGGACTCGATAAGTCGAAATGGTTGCGTCATTATGCGCAACAGGCTGCACGATCATTCCAAATGCCTGGCCAAGTACTGCAAGCACGAGCTCAAATTCACGTGCAACGACATGAAGTAATTTTGCCTGTAGTCCCTTGTACATCTCGAATACCATTAAATGTGTCTTTACAAACCAATTAACCCGAGTTTTTAATGGGCAAACGTGAACTCACCTCTAGATAGCGCAGCACATCCCTGAAGGTAGCCCGCTGAGCCTTGCGATCACGCTTGGCCCGGTATTTGTGCGAATCTGTGGCCAACTGCTTGACGGCCTCCGACAACTCGGGAATATGCTCCTCCAGGAAATCATCATCGTGGGCACGGCCCGACTCCAAAATCAAAGCAATAGTCTCTCCAGCAGCCATGCGGACATCCAAGTGTGTGGATTGCAAAAGGCCCAAGAACTTCTTAATAGATCTGTAAGTTATAAAATAGTATTCTTAGTTAAAACTGATGACATAATAAATATATAACTAATTGCGAATCTTTAAAATTGTAACAGTAAGTTATAATAGGACTATTTAATTTTTGCCAAGCAAAAGGCCCAAGAACATTTTAATAAATCTGTTTATGGTATTCTTAGTAAGAACATTACACATACATATGTATATTCTTGGAATAACTGAATTCTTTGAAGTTGAAACAGTAAGCCATAACATATAAAATGTATAATATAAACAATGACTAAGTTTTATATATACATTGTTGAAATGAAAGTATAATTAATATATAAATTGGAGGCATAAAATAAATTATTTCGTTATCTGTTACATTTTTCTGCTACTTACGGAAACATGTTCTGGCCGGTGGTCATAAGGGAAACAAAATCTCCCGAGGGAATCAGTGTGAGCAGCAATCCCCAGGCGTTCAAAGCCTCCGCATGAAGAGTGCCCGCCTCGGCGGTGACCGAAACCGGTGTCTTATCATCGCCACGCAAATAGCTGCCGGCGAAGATGGCCTCGAAGTACTGCATCAGTTGCACCAACTCGCCGACATCCTCGCAGCCCAGGAAACTGAGAAGTCCCAATGCTGTGCAGCACTTGGCCCGAGCATCAAAGCCCACAGACTTGTCCTGCACGGTGTTCAATAGGAACTGATTCATAGCCTTGGAGATGCCCTCGTCGCCGCCCATTTGGAGCACCAGGAGGGGGGCGAGTCGAGCACCCCACACCTGCTCCTGGCCCTTGCCGCGGCGGATGCTCTTCTCCACGAAATCCATCAGTGTCATCTTGCGGTCCTCCACAAAATCGGGCATGTAGCGATGCATGAGCAGCTCGCAAATCGCTTGGAGGGCCTGCACACGGGTCTGGGCCGACTTCTCGGTGGCCTGTTCCAGGGCCTTCTCGAACTTCTCCTCGAAGCGCTCATTGGCCAACTCATCGGTGGCCTCCGAAGAGGCGACCTCCGAGACATGGGAGTAAACGCTCACATTGTCGAAGGACTCGTCCTCAGAATTTGAGTCATTGGTGCGGCCTGCAGGACAAAGCAAAGGATTATTATGGAATTTAATTGTTTAAATAAAGTGTTGAGTTAACCTTATCACATTTATATTAACAGAATTTTTTTTTTTACTGGCTTGAGTAAGAGAATGGAATCGAATCAGATGTCTGCAAAAACTGCTTATACTCAAAAGGAACCACTTAACCCATAATCTTTAATATTTTTAATGATAATAAATAATTTAGTTTATCTGCAGAAAATTAATTGATTTAATTTGTGTCATTTAGTTGGAAACGACGCATTTGTTTAAAAGCGTTGCAAAACTGTAAGCAACTATTAAAATTCACCTCCTAACTTGTTTAAGCTCAATATACTCCAAAATATATATATAAAAAAACAAGCTTTAAAGAAATCGAAAGCTATTTGACTGAAACATAACTAAGATATTGTGCCTTTATTCACTTTAAAATATGGCAAACATTATTGGTACCACCCTCGCATATTGTTCGTCAAACTGTGACAACTTTTAGACCGCAGTGTTTGTCAAACCATTTGAAATGAGGCAGCGAATACGTATACTTAACTTTTCCGTCTTCGAGCAGTTTTCATTTGGCTGTGTTCTCATTCCGATGTGAACATATATACATATATATATATGTATAGACAAATTAGAAATTCAATTACATGCTTGCTACACCAGCAATGACCTTCACAACAAACAGTTTGGGAGCCAATGTTGTGCAACAAGTTTTCTTTCTTTTTCTCTCTCTTTGTTGCTTGCTAACGGCGTCGAAGAAAACCCGTCGACGACCACAACTTTCATTATGGCGATTTCCCAGTGCCTGTTTTCTATTTGGGGCAAGGTAGTTTCCGCCTTCTGTTTCTTACCTTTCACAAAAGCTCACAAACGAACTACAAAAGCGTGCTGTAACTGCTTGCGAGAAACAAGAAAAACAGTGGACAACAGCTGGTTTGTTTGAAAGTTGTTTGGATTAGATTCGGGCGAGTAAACCAACTGTTTGTCTATAGAGAAACATAATACATAACACAAAGTTGCATAATTATTAGGTCACCGATAGGGTACTGAAAGAAGATGAACACTTCCGCGACTTTATTTTTAAATTGAATGTCTTCGGGAATCATAATGGCAATAATAAATACCCTAAATACTAAATTCTGCACTTTTATTAACTTGAACATTCTCATATGCTTATAACTTATTTAATGTATAATTGTCTATTTTCTCATATCTGGATCATTTTTCCAAATATTTGCAATATTTTAAAAAATATTTTTATTATGTTAGTAAGTTGTGTAAATTAATAGCATTTAGAAGAACGTTGATAAATGATCCAAACAAAGGTAAGCCAAAACCTTTTAGAAAATTCCTTAAAGAAATGTACACTACATTCTAAAAAAAAATTCTCCAAAAGAAAACCTAATGTGTTGATAAGCAACCCCGCACTCTAAGATTACATGCCCACTGATACCCTGCAGCGAAGTATTCCCGTCTGCTAGTTGTTATTGGGCGTGATTCTGATAAGCTGGCATTGAACGTTCACATATGTGTGTTTGAATAGCTCTATGTGTAAATATATACATTTATTTACAACTGAGCTCAAGATAGTAGCAGTAGGGTAATTTCAAAATTCTTCAAAAACATTAACATAAAACAAGTATTTAATACAAAACTCAAAAACTGTAATAATAATCAAAATAATTTGGTTTGCTTTTTTTAATATATGTATAACACTTATGATTTTGATCACAGCCGTATATATTTACATACATTGAGTGTTCCGCTGATTACTTGTGTTGTTGCGTAGCCAGCTGAGCGCGTGGAGAGCTTTTCGTGCCAGCACAGCAACAAAATGAAAATAATTATTTCGAGGGTATTGCCAAACAGGTTGTAGGCAGTACAAAGCTTCCTACGTTTTGGAAGCCAACGAAATACACAAAACAGTGCACGGTATTTATTAGCCAGCGCATGACTAACGCAAAGGTCAAATCGAAAGCAGCTGTGAAAATTTCCCCTGCACTCGCTACACATAAAGAAAATGATGATATGGATATGACTTTCTTCATTATTTTAGAATCATTATCTTTGATATTAAAAATAGTATTTATAAAGGTAAGAAACTAGATAACAAAACCTGTGTGCATTGTTAAAACCCTTTAATTTTGATTTTTGATTAACAGACGAAAATGCTTTAGCAACCTTATGAAATGAAATGTGAACAATACACATATCAACAAGATATAAGAAACATTCTATTTATTCGAATAAATTTCTATCTATCTCCTGCTTTTCTCCTGTGTACGCCCACACACATTTCTCTTTGTGACTCACCTTTGCCTGCTGCTGTTTTCTTGTTGCGTCTCGGCATGTTGCTGTTGTTTTTGCGTTGTTCACGTATTTTGTTTGAACTCGACGACGACGTTTTGGTTTCTATTGTTTAGCCTGCTGCTTCAAACACAAAGAACGAATACGAAAAAAAGAACAGATGTTTTGTAGCCGAGTGTCCTTTCCTTCTTTCCCAAGATGGCAAAGTCTACACAACGGCGAAAATGTCTACACTCCCGTCGCTTTGGCGGCAACTAAAACGCACGTGTTCTGCTCCGATTTATTGATTTTCTTTAGGTTAGAAATATTGTGTTCTTGAGTTTTTTTCGAAGCTGGGCTTGGTTTCTTTTCTTTTCTTTTTTATTTTTTTAATTCGAAACGTTTCCGATCAGGACGCACCTATGCAAAAGCTTTGGTGTTTCCAATTTTTGGCAATTCTACACGACTGTCTTTGCCGTTTGCAATTGTTCAACTCCGATCGCGATTGTTGCGGGCGTATCTTATATATAGTCTGCTGATTTTGCTGCTGCTGCTGCTTGGCGATAATACAAAAATGTCGTACTCCGGTCGTCGTTGCAGCAAATTTCATGTTTAATTGCAATGAAGTCACCACTCCGCTTCCTCAGTTCGCAGCTCTTGTGAAATTGGCTTTGGGTTCCCCGATTCCCGATGCGTTAGCGTGTTAAATCCCTCCGAAATTGGCAGTTCGATATGGGCCAGCGATGGCTCTTCGCGTACTTTGCGGTGGCAGCTTTCGGAAAGCTCTGCGGGGCGTTTGTTTAAAAATAATGCAAATAATTAAGCACGTCGATTGCTGATTTTTACGAAATGAAAAAGTGAGTGACCGTCTGTGAGAACTGCGAAAAATACCAAAGATGGCGGGGGTAAATCAATTAGAGATGGCACACGTGTGCTTAAGCGATAGTTGACACTAAATAGATATATTAAATTTGATTATTGCATTAAATAATGTTATATAGCTTAATTTTTTGGTTAATTCGACCTTCGTGAGTGCTGATTATAACCAATACCTCCCACAAATGTTCAACCTGGCATGCTGTGATAGTAGGCCTGTTTTTAAAGACATAAGTTATATGATTCATAATTTAATCATGTTTTTTTAATATTAAATTGTACATTTTTGTGTAATAAATACCTATGATTGAATACATTTTTGAGTCTGATAAGTTCTTTTTATACTAAGTGTTCTTATGCACTATAGAGCTTTAAATAAGAGTTAGGGGTTTTAACTTATTTTGAGGTGATAAGGATCCAAATTGTATTATTTATTGCAAGAACCAGTCTGTGGCTTATTCACCAATATTTGTATAAATCAACATTTTTTCATATGTTTTATGAGCAAATAGACAAAAATTCAAACTAAAATCTTTTTTCCGCCCTGCCTTTCATCCCTAACGCCAATTAACGGACCATCACTCGGTTCGATACATTTATTGCACCCCTGCGCACACCCACATACGCACAGGCTCACGTACGCGCTCAGAGAGAGTTTTCGAGTTTTTGTTTGGTTTTATTTGATTGCAACTCGAAATTAAAGGCTGAGACGAGCGCAGCGCACAACAATATAATTGCGAGGTCGATAAGAAATACGGGAGGGGAAAAGCTTTGGCCGATTCGAAGCTCAGAAGACTGGACTTCAGAACTCGAACTTTGTCACCCAGCGCATCCGAGAAACATCGCCCCCCAAAAATTGATGAATAATTATAATAATAGTAAAACGAAGAAAGACACCAAAAGGGGGCCCCGAAATTGGTTTGCAACACCGCGCGGATTGCACACAATAATTAGGTAATTTGTAAGCGACGTTCACCTGTTTAATCGGTGAACTTGGCACCGTCTATCCATATACACATATAACATGTATATATATATCTTATCGATCGAGTGTACTGTGGCTAATCTCCAGATAATCTTACAGAAATGGCGGCGGCGATTGAGGAGCGATTCCAGGCGGCGGTCAACGTGATCAAGGGTCTGCCCAAAAATGGACCCTACCAGCCCAGCACCAGCATGATGCTCAAGTTCTACGGACTGTTCAAACAGGCCACCGAAGGGGGATGCGATCAGAAGAAGCCCGGTTTCTGGGACATTGTGGGCAAGGCCAAGTGGGACGCGTGGAATGATAACCGGCATTTGAGCAAGGAGCAGGCCATGCAACGCTATGTGGAAAGCCTCCAGGAGATCATCGAAACGATGTCATTTACGGAGAATGTTCAGAATTTTGTGGGAAGCCTGGACAATCTAGGGAACATTAGTCTCGACGAACTAGAGCTTGTGTCACCCGGCATGCGGGAACTGGCCGAATCACATCCCAACTCGCCGTTCCATTCGCGCACCAACAGTCCGCAGCACGGATCCAGTTGCAACAGCGAGGCGGAGGTGGAAGTGGCTGCCACAACACAACCGCTGGCCTCGTCCGAAACGATAAAAGAGAATGGCCACAGTTCGTCACCGCCATTGACCAATGGTTTTGTTCCCAAATCTGTAAACTTCACACAACACGACACAACGACACTGCACAACTATACGAACAACAGCAGTGTGGCTATTGTGGAGCCCTCGGACGATGAATACGACGATCCCTACGATCTAAGCCACGAGCTGACCCAGGCGATTGCCCAGAACACGGACTTGCTGCGCCAAATCCAGACGGCCATCTCCCGCATGAACAGCGATGTGGGTGCAGTGCAGCAAAAGGTGCGAGGCCTGGAGCAGTCGCTTAACGAGCTTCGAACTGCACAGAAGGCTGCGAGGGGAGCGGTGGGACAGCAGCCACGATCACTGCCCGCCTGGTGGCCCTTCAGGAACATCTCCCCGCTCTGGTTTGCCGTCCTAATCCTTTGGCCTTTCCTAGTGCGACGATTTGCGCGGATGCTGCAGACCACTCCGCAGCGTAGACACTGACGTATAGGAGGTTCTATGCTAGCGGGAGAAAAATGTGGTAGTTAAATTGTAAGTACCAATTCTAATTACTTAAAGAAGGCAAATTCCTAGGGAAGATCAAGTCTCTTTCCACTTGTAATTTCAAGAACACTCTAAGTTAATCCACATATATCAATCTATTACGCTTCTTTCTTGTTTATATTGGAGAGGAATTTATGATCGCATGGAACCTGTTTGGCAGCGAAAGCTTTTACATCTTATAATGTACATATTTGCATTTCATTAACATATTCAAGGAAACGGTCACTAAGCAAACTCAGATTGTTAAATATCGTTGAGTATTTGAACAAGGGAAAGTGTTTTTAGCTCTTGTGTTTATACTTATTATCAGTAATTATTATTTAATTAAAGACAGGGTAGTCAGGGTAGGCGATACACAAAATCTAAGAGTACGTTTCTTTTCTAATGTATATTTATTATAAAAAACATTAAAATTTACATTTTAATCTAATATAACCTTTTCAATTTCAGTTACCTTTGGTTACGGGCACGAGCTTGGTCTTTCGCTTTCTTCTTTCCTCGAAAGCTCTTCAGTTATTGTACAGAATTGGCCTTATTTATACTTTTCTAACCTCAGGGTTATCCAGTTGCAATATCTTTACCCTCTTTTTTATACGTCTATATGTATATTGAATGTATATTTATTTTGTACACACAAAACGCGACCTTTTTTGTCACATTCCCCATCTGATTTAGTTTGTAAGTCGAATGTTTTTGGCACTTTTGTCTGGCAGGAGGCGCATTTTATCATGCTAAAAGCGCAGTCCTGCTAAAATACGGTTGTAAGCGTATACTTTATTGTGCATTAATTTGTTATTAATTATAATTTTTGTAATAAAGTCATACTTGAAAAAAGACGATTTGTACCCTTAGGGCTGAGGTGTGATCCGGAGATAACTCTTTCCGGACGGAACTTCAATTGTTTCGATACCCTTGGGAAAGAGGTTGGGCACATCTTCGCTTTTGACGGTTGGCAAAACCATGCATTTGCCACCCTTTTGCCAATCTGCAGGCGTGGCCACGCTCTTTGTTTGGGTCAATTGCAGTGAGTCGATGACCCGCAGGATTTCACTGGAATGGGGAACAAAAAAAATTATAGTTAAATATTGGATATTGATTTTTTTTAAATAAACGAAGTATTTTATTTACTACTTATCATATTGCAGTACCCAGTATGTAACATTAAATGGTTGGCAAACTAATAAGTAAATAATCGTTTTCAAAGCTTTTATCGTTATAAACACCGTTTAGTAGTTTTGAATATGCCTCGTTAAGTAATTACATATCTCTTTCAACGTTTATGAACACGATTTGTACAAAACAGACACCCTATCTAATCTATCTCTAACCTAATCATCAATATCTGCTGATATCAAAATTAAATAGCGAAATTTATCAAAATTAGTTGACTATTTCGTTTATATTTTTATTAAATTTTTAATTATGTAGAACACTAGAATGCGAACGGTATAACAATAAATGATTTACCCATATTCTTATGATTTACTCACTCGAAATTACGTCCTGTGGTGGCAGGATAAAGGATGGATAGGCGTAGCTTCTTTTTGTCATCCACAACGAAAACTGCACGACATGTAAGGGGAATACCCTCAGCATTGAGCTCATCCTTGTCCAGCATGTTGAACTTGAGGGCCAGCTCCCGCTTGTCATCCGCGATGATGGGATAATCGAAGCTGGGGAGCTCTGAAAAGGAAACTTCATTAGATGGGTTCCTAGCCAAGACCTAAAGTGAACCCACTGCCAAAACTCTTGATGTCCTCGATCCAACCCTTGTGCGATTCTACGGTGTCACAGGACAAAGCAATTGGCTTGACTCCTCGCTTCAAGAATTCCGGAACCAAGGCCGCCACTCTTGCCAATTCCGTAGTACAAACCGGAGTAAAATCCGCCGGATGAGAGAACAAAATAGCCCAACTATCGCTCATCCAATCGTAAAAGTCTATCTTTCCCACACTCGTGTCGGCCGAAAAGTTGGGAAACTGATCTCCAATATTTAAGGCCTTGCCGGTCATTTTGGTTGATTTGAAAATTAGGGAGTTCGAGAAGCTTTGGATAAATGCGAAACAAAATTGCCGCAAAATAGGAGTCAGCTGATTGCGTCAGAGTGACCGTTTCAGTTATACACTTAAACCAGGGCTACATCTAGCTAGTGAGCCACACTTTTCTTACAAAATCTACAAGCCTTTTGTAAAATAAATTTGCATATTTTAAACACAAAAATTAAATTAATATTTACAAGCAGTGCCTCATGACTACTCCTTTTATTTTATATGTTTTTGAATAATTAACAATGTGAATTTCCCAAATAAAATATGTTTTCAAGTAATAATTTTAAAATCCCGTATGATAAAATTGATCCAGTGAACTGAACCACTAAAATTTTTATTGCATCCCTGGACCTTATACACACACACACACACACAAACTCAAAATCGCGCACAGTAAACATAAATAATTTTTCGTATTTATTTTAATCTCACTCGAAGTACGAAACCATGACTGACCTGAGTATCAGCGGCCAGCAGGTGCTACCAGCACATCCACCCACAATACCGGAACCCTTCAGGATCACCACGAATGCCCCGCACCAGATGAACGATGCCAGTTTGACGCCCGGCAGGAGGAAGCTGCAAAAATGGTTGGGTCGTGTCCTTCGGATCGTCATCACCGATGGACGTGTCCTGGTGGGATTCTTCAATTGCACCGATAGGGACGCAAACATCGTGCTGTCCATGTGCGCCGAGTACCTGGTGGAGGGCCAGGAGCCCCGCCTCTTGGGCAACGTGATGGTTCCGGGCAAGCACATCGTGTCCCTCAACATTGACGAGCCCGATCCGCAGTCCAGTCTCCTGGTGCAATAGCTTCGAGTCCGTTCTTAGATTCCTTTCATCATCATTTTATGTTAGCAAACAAATAAATCTGTTCGAGTACGCCTATTAAAGACTTCACGGCGCTGATGAATATACCCAGTACGTTTTAAAACCCCACAAAGCATATGAAATATATTCTGGATCTGTAGTAATCACGAATGTGTCTTCGGATTTATGTGCAGAAGAGCTAAAGAAATTGAGTTACAGCAAATGTCTGGAAAATACAAAATATAATTTTTATTACTTGATATTGATACTATACTGTTTTAGGTTTGATTGCAAAGGTTAAGCTGTAATAAGAAAGGATTTAGGCTCATCGGAAATATACAAAAATACCTTCCATTGAATATAACTCTGTGCATTATAAATATTTTTAAATTAGGCGCTCACTTGACTTTTTCAAGTTTAGACCGAAATACCAAATTTTTAGATCAGCATAGCGTTAGGCCAAGAATATTTCATACCGAACCACCTGACAACCCTAAAAGCTTGAAAAAAGACTGCTGACAAAAACAATAAAATAATGGATGCAACTTCAATTGTGGGCGATGTGGATAAAACCCAGGTAATGGAGTTACAACTATAAATAGCTGGCACTTCCACAAATCGGTTCTTCCAGATACCGCCGCTGAATCAGAAGCGCATCCTGGCCTTTGTCAATCACTTTCTCGTCAGCACTTGCACCTTTCTGAATGAGTTCGCCCTGGGCTGTGAGACAAAGTTTGTGGAGATGGAGCGGCAATTGCAAAAGACCGAGGCGGCTCTTATCATCCTGGAGGCTAAGCTGGCTTCCATACCCACCGAGCACCATGTGGCTGAAGAGGCACCCAGCACCCCAACGCCATCCAAGGAAACCAACCCGCCTGAAGTTCCCATTGTGGATACTGAGCTTCCAGCCGAGGAGAAACAACCTGAAGAACTGCAAGCCCCATCTGAATTTATAGGAGTGCGAGCTTGCGAGGATCTGCGCTACAGGAAGTTTTTCAAAATGGTTCAAGTTGGAGTCCCTCCGCCGGCCGTCAAGCAGAAAATGCAATCCGAAGGCCTGGAGCCTCGTCTGCTGGAGTAAGTCAAGTCCTAACGCTCCCTGAAATCAAAATCAACCTCATGTTTCATTTCAGCACTCCCGATTTAATCCTGGCCGATGGGCAGCGTGAGTGAGTGAGTCTTGAAGAAGCCAAGCCAACAAGCCCAACTTGTGATATAGCACTACTAGTTGCTACACTCTTCAATTAAACATTTTTGGTAAAGCTTTACGTCTACAATTTAATTTGTTTTATTTGCCGCCATGCGGCGGCTCAAAAAAACAACTTAAAACCACTTCGATAGCAAAAAGAGTTTCTCGGTTGGATGAAGGAGCCTAAGTGTGTCTAGAACTGGATCATCTGTCCCTTGCGCTTCTTGTCGCCTCCCAGCTCGAAGTGCTTGCAACGCTTCAGGGGAGTCTGCTTGCGGTATTTGCACTCAGTGCACTCCATACGCAGTACGATCTTCTTGGTGGTCTTGGCCTGAAATGGTACAATAAATCACGTTTAGTAAGGAGAACACAATGCTTAAGGGAACGGAGAAATGTCTGAAACTGCAGGTGGGGCGCCATGGGATGGGATGCCACATGACGCTGCCTATAAGACCTCACCGGTGCAATAACAATTTTGATCTGGCACAGTTTGTTCCCACCAAAAAGCCGAATGCTCAACGAGCGCAGCGATTTAGTTCTACTAAGCGCCATTTTTTAGGGTTCTGTTCACTTTCCACCAAGACTGTCGATTGTTCTTGGTTTTTATCATGATATTGATATATCTATCATTTAGATCTTCTTGGTAATTCAGAATCGAAATAGATGTACGACAGTCTGGTGGCAAGTGAGCCGGACGAGCAGTACTCATCCCGACGAGACTCACCTTCTTCCTGAAGATGGGCTTGGTCTGGCCACCGAAACCCTGCTGCTTCCTGTCGTAACGCCTCCTGCCCTGGGCACCCTTGCGCTCCTTGGACTTCTTGTACTGCGTCACCTTGTGCAGCTTGTGGACCTTGCACTTCTTGCAGAAGGTGCGGCGTTGTTTTGGTACGTTCACCTGGCGGGCGGAAAACACACAAGTCAATTAGTAACTTAGTAATTTTTTAATCAGCGACCGCGGATTTTTTCGAGCCGATCAGAAACGCACTTAAAACACGGCGCGGCCCTCGATATTCCGCTCCTCGAGTCGGCCACGCTGCAATCTCTGCTTTCGCAGCGGCCCCACATTCGTTCGCTCATATTTCAACGCGGATGTTCGACGATTACGAATTTATGTGAAAAACCTACCATCTTGATTTCAGGAAAAACGAAAAAGAAGGGACGGGGCGATGTGACCGGAGAACAGTAAAAAAGAATAACCACCTGGATTTTTAAATATACTAGTTATACTATTCGCATAATGAAAATATACCAAAATAAACTTTTTTTAGCCGGCTTCCACTAGCACATGTTTTCACACTATTTTTTATTTTTTTCATTTTTTTTTTAATAACCCCTTTCCAAACTTCCGAAAAATGGCTTTGCTGAAAAGTTACCAAAAACCTGCAGCTCTAAGTCCGTAACTTTTCTTTCAGGCGTCCAATTTCCAAGTGGTATATTTTTAAAGTATTGCGGCTTAAGTCTCTAAAACTCTGCATTTAAATTTTGTTTTGAAATTTCGAGTTGTTTTTTTTTTACGATATAACTCCTTAATCAATTCTCGAAAAATATAGTCCCAGAAATGTGACCAAAAACCTACAGTGTTAATTTTATAACTTTTCTTTAAAGCATCCGATTTTAAAGTGGTATGTCTTTAAAGTATTGTGGTTTAGTGCTCTAAAAATCTGCGTTTAAAACTTGGTTTGTAATTTATGATGTTACCCCATTCTTAATTCCCGAAAAAATCGTCCTTGCAGAAATGTGACCAAAAACCTGCAGTTTTAAATCCATAACTTTTCTCCCTTGCCTCCGATTTCAAAGTTGTATATCTTTAAACTCTTGTGGCTAAAGAATCTAAAAATTTGCATTTTAATTTTGTTTTGAAAGTTTGGGCTGATATTCTTACGACATAACTCCTTAATTAAATTCCGAAAAAAATCATTTTAAAAAAGGTACCAAAAACCATCAGCTTTAATTCCATAACTTTTCTTACAGACTTCCGATTTCGAAGTGCTATATCTTTAATGTCCTGCTACGTTAGTCTCTAAAAAACTGCGTTTAAAACTTAGTTTGTAATTTTGCGTCGTTTTTTTTTGTAATTTTCATCATATTAAAAAATAGTTTAGCAGAGAAGTGAGCATAAACATGCAGATCTAAGTCCATAACTATTATTTTATGCATTTGATTTCGAAGTGGTAAATCCTTAAAGTCTTGTGGACTAGGTCTCTAAAAATCTGCGTTAAACAATTGATTTGTAATTTGTAATGTTCGCTTTCTGAGTTTTCGAAAAATGGCTTTACACTTTTTTTATTTTCGAATTTGCTGGATTTTTTAGGAAATAGTGGAACGTGCACTTTTTATGAATTGGCCCAAATGGCAGTTATATATTTGGATATTGTTTTCCTTTTCACTTAGTTTTCAATTTATTTTGAATTGAATTCCACATGTCTAAAAAATTGACTCAGATTTAGGAAATCCAAAGAGCAAAAAAGATATAACATAATTTTTTGTTTGCTATATTGCTACTGGCGTACGTTATACGTAAAAATAAATACAACGAATCAACATTTTTAAGGCTTAAACAGCTTAGCTAAACCAGCCCTTCTTGTTCAGCGAGTTCCACTTGGCTATGTTCACCAGAATGGAGGCCACACACTGGTCCTTGTCCCGATTTTGACCGTAGTAGTCCACAAACTCGCCGTCCGGATTGACCAGATACATGATGATGGTGTGGTCCACGATGTAGTCGTTGTCCTCATCGCGCGGTCCGGCGCTAAAATAAACCCGGAAAGCCTTGCACACATTGCGGATCTGGTCGACGGTTCCGGTGAGTCCCAGGAGTTTGGGCGAGAACTCCTTCACGTATTTGGCCACCACCTCCTTGGAGTCACGTTCCGGGTCCACGGTAATGAAGATGGGCTGCACCGCCGGCGTTTGGGGGGATTTTTCTGGGAGGGATTAGGGGAATAAATTGGTAAATGCAAAAAGAGAGGAGACCGTTTTTACATACCCACTTCGTCCACCACGGCGGCCATCTTCTCCAGCTCATCGGGACAAATGTCGGGGCAGTGGGTGAACCCGAAGTAGATGAGCAGCCACTTGCCCAGGAAGTCCTCCGATTTGCGCACCGCTCCCTGGGGATCTACCAGTTCCCACCTACCGCCGATGGCCGCCTTTCCCAGCTGCCGCTGGCGTTCCTTTAGCCGCGCCTCGTCCTTCTCGCTCTTCACGTACAGCATGAAGCCCAGTCCACCGGCTCCAAGTGCTCCAATGACGGCCAGACTTTTCCAGGAGATCGGACCTTTGCCTTTTGTGGCATCCGCCGGAGCGGCGTAGTGGCGGATGGCCGCTGGCTGCATCGCCCAGCGACGGCAGCTGCCCATTAAGCGTTGCAGGGAGCGGGACATCCTGTGGCCAGGTTTTGAGGAATTTTCAAGTTTTACGTAAATCTTCTGGAGAAATAAAAATCTCGCCGGTGCCCTGCTTCTTCTTCTCCTTTTATTTGCCAGTCACACGGAATCGTTTGCACTACGGTATATTTTTATGGTATATTAAAAACGAAATGGTATATTTTGGTATTCCGACCGCGGTCTTATTGGTTTCAACACGTGCGGTTAAAATTTGTAAAAGTTTTAAATATAAATACCTGAGGAAAATGGATAGCACGAAGCGCAAGGAGCCGCTGTTGTACATGGAGGAGTACCGGGTCAAGCAGGATCCGCAGGACTATGGCCTGGCGGACGACATATTCACAATTGAGACATTTAAAGAGAAGCTGCAAATAACCATCGTGAGGTGGGTTTTTTTTTTTTATCGAGATTTCTGGCGAGGATTAACCGGTCTTATCTTTCAGAAACGATGAAGATGGCTTGGAGTTCGATCTGATTGGAGTTTATCCGGCCATAGCCAATGCCTTCCGCCGACTAATGCTTAGCGATGTGCCCAGCATGGCCATCGAAAAGGTGTACATATACAACAACACCTCGATCATCCAGGATGAGGTCCTGGCCCATCGGATGGGCCTGCTGCCGCTGAGAGCTGATCCTCGACTCTTTGCTTATCGCACGGAGGAAAGCAGCGAAGCGGGGACAGAGCAGGATACTCTGGAGTTTGAGCTGAAGGTGAAGTGCTCAAGGCGTCGGGATGCAGGCAAGGATCAGTCGAACTTCGATGACATCTACAAGAACCACAAGGTGTACTCGGGCCATCTGAAGTGGCTGCCCAAGGGGAAGCAGGCGCAGATCTACAGCGAGAGTGCAGTGAACTGCATCCATGAGGACATACTGATTGCCCAACTCCGACCGGGTCATGAGCTGGATTTACGCTTGGTGGCTGTTAAGGGACTCGGACGGGATCACGCCAAGTTCTCGCCTGTGGCGACGGCCACTTACCGACTGTTGCCACAGATCAAACTAAATCGCGAGGTGACCGGCAAGGATGCGTACCTTCTGCAGAGCTGCTTCTCGCCCGGAGTGATTGGCATCGACGAGAACGAGAGCGCCTATGTGAAGGATGCGCGATATGATAGCTGCAGCCGGAATGTCTATCGCTATCCGCAGCTCAGCGATGCCGTTACCTTGGCCCGTGTCCGAGACCACTACATCTTTTCCGTGGAGTCGGTGGGCGCCCTCAAGCCGGATGTTATCTTTCTGGAGGCCATCAAAGTGCTGAAGAAGAAGTGTCGAGCGTTTATAGACGAAATTGAAGCGGAATAGATTTATATTTAGTTGCTAAAAGAATTATTCTATGTACATAAGACAACAACACTTGATATAAAATATGTAAGCCTAAGAACTGCGTTTCCCCTCCCGTTGGCGCTTGAGTATTTTCAGGCGAAACTCGGTGAGCACGACTTGAAGGCGCTCCTGGCAGAGCAGAGCGTCCTCCAGGTCCATGTTATTTAGTTGCAGCGCCAAGCTCTTGCCGAACAGGTCAAATTCAGTAATAATGGCATCCTCCGAGACGGTGTCGTCCTGATAGTCACCGTGCAACTCCGGCTCATCCTGCTTGATGTGGACCATCTCCTCGTCGTAGCCTACCTGCTCTTGGTATTGATGGTCATGCTCTTCGATGAACTCGTTTTCAACCACATACTCCTGTACCAGTGGCTCTGTTCCCAACAGATCATCCAGGATTGAGTCGTTTGAGGCCATGTCTTGGGCATCCATTTGCTCCAGCTTTACCTCGCTCTTAATCTTTGGCTGCATTTTGTTATTTAGCTTAGGCTTTGGTTTGGGATTTGGCTTTGGCTTAACGGTAGTAATGGAAGCCGATAGATCGGGATTATGGTTATCCTTGCAGAGCTCGCCCTTGACCATGGTCTGTAAGTGTAAATGAAAATTGTTATTTTGGAATAATGAATTGACGAATTCTGGGGTATGAGTTATACGACAGCAAAGGGGCAAATACTATTCTTGGTTTTTAGTGTAGATTATTGTACTTAAATAGGTTTAGATGTTGTCTTCACCTGTTTCAGATTTTATTAGCATCAGTATGGCTGCCATTTGTGTTACAATTGTATCCAAACAGCTGATGAATTTAAGAAGTTGTGAGCATTCTATTCTATTAAGCAGCTGTTAATCATCTGGTTCCCATTTTAGGTACATTTTTTCAAATCTAATCGGTTTCAGTATTAATGAGCTTTAAAGAGAGAATTGGTATACGATCGTATTCTAAATGGAAGTAAATGTACTTGGGATTTTTTTATAAACTTTTAACTATTTAATATAAGCTAGTCAGCCACATATTTTTTGATACACAACGGCCATTCCTAATGGCATTGCGTTTGGAACTTTCCTGGTGCTTCCGGGTGATGAGATGCTGCTTGATGGAGGCCAGTCTGGCCAGGACATTGGCGTCGCAGATGATGCAGTGCGCCGAGTAGCCATCGTTGCTGGAGCGAAGCCAGGCGGAGAAGGCCGGGATCTTCTCCCAGTCGGCGCGGTAACGCTGGTGGTACAGTCGCTTCACTTTCTTGTCGTCGGGGTCCTGCTTAAACACTTTAAGCATTGTTCCTGCTTTTAAACGAGTTGTCCTTCAGAATAAATCGAAAATCCTTCTTTTTAAAGATGAGCGCCAAAAACAGTCTTTTAATTTACTGCTTATGGTAAATATTTTGGTATATTCCGAAAAATATTAGCAACGCGAAAAAAATCTGAAAGTCAATGCAGTGTGACTGCGATTTGATAGGTTAGAATACCAAAAATGGCGGCCAGGGCTGCAATTAGTACTATTAGCGCAGTGCGGTCACACTGAAGAAGATCTGACTAGCTTTAATGGTATGCTCGCTCAGTTTGCTTAGAAACTCCTCTAAATGGAAGTTAACTTTTATTAATTTGTTTTTTTTAAGTTGTACATTTCCTTTCAGCTTGTTTTTTTCAGTGTCATAATATTGTAATCTTGATTGGTTTGAGTCTCTGCTAGAGTTGTTTATAAATGAACTTTAAAGCACGGTCATACTGGTTACATCGCGATGACAAACTAGCAAAAAAAAAAACAGAAAAAATAGTAAATAATAGAAAATATAACAAGTAAACACCAGGCAGACAGTGTCCAGTCAACATGGTCATTCCCAAGGAGATCCTGAGCGACTACAAGGAGCTGTACGAGAAGGCCAACCGTCTGGTGGAGGAGGAGAGTCGTAGTGATCCGCCCACTGATCCCTTTCGCTCCCATTACAAAGCCCGCGATGTTCTGAGCGATTTGAAAAGGCAGCTAGACGACCAACTGGTCTCTGTTCAGGCCAGCGAGGAGGATGGGGGGCAGGATGACCTCTGCTACCGCTCCCTACTGGCCTTTGTCTGTCGCGATCTGGGCAGGATCTATATCTACACGGAGGAGTCGTCGGAGGGCGAAAAGCTACTAAATCGTTGCCTGGAACTAGTCACTCCGCTCAAGAAGCTTCCCCAAGGCATCATTCCATTCATTGGAGCCATCAACGAGCTGAGCATTGTGCTGGCCTCCAAGGAGGATTACAAAAAGGGTCTGGACATTCTCATTGAGGCGGATACCAGCTACGAGAATTTTAAGGCCAGTGGCTTGCAAGCCCTAGCCGTACAGGATATATTCAATCCCCCGGAGGATGGACAGGATGCTCCAGCGGCGGGACCCAAGGAGCTGGAATCTCTGTACACGCTGGTCTCCTTCTACATGGCCCAGATGTACGGCCATCTGGGGGAGCCGGAGAAGTCGGCCAGGTGCTGCCATCGCACCCTGCACCGGCAACTGGAGTACAAGACGTACGATGCCATTGATTTCGCACTGAACACGGCCACCTTGTCGCAGTTCTACATTGGAGAGGAGCGCTTCCAGGAGGCGCGTCATCACCTGGCCGCCGCCACGCTCATCATGGCCGAGTACGAGACGCACATGTTGGAGCCGGAGATGAGCGAGAAGCAGCGTCAGGATACAACGGAGACCTTTAAACATCGCTACGCCGATGTGGCACGCTGTTGGGCCAAGTATGGATTGTATTTGATGCAGACCTCCAAGCTGCGTCTGATGAGGGACGAGGATGAGGATGAGGAGGCCAAGAGCCTGGAGAAGGTGATGCGCAATCTTCGGCTGGTCGAGGCGAAACAGTCCCGGTTTCCAGGACTCGATCTCACCGCCTGCGAGAATCGAATAAGCTGCGACTATTGCCTGACCTTCGACGATGCCAAGCTGGTGTTCCATTTCGTTAACGAGTGGCTGGACATAGCCAAGGACTATTACAAGGCCGAGAACGAGGCCACCGAGTACTCGAAGATCATACAGGACTACGCCGAGGCGTACGAGCACATTGCCTTCTTCGAGGAGAATCCGGAAAACCAGGCTAAAATGCAAAAGCGGCGTGCCAAGTATCTGGAGGATCTGCTGGATCTTCTGGATCCCATTTTCTATATGAAGATATGCCGGGAATGCTGGTATGGCGCCGGAACAGCGCATGCCGCCGTTCTAGACGTTCGTCTAGATATTATTCGATCGACGAGTACACCGTCGCCGGAGGAAATCAAAAAGGTCAACCAGAGCTGCATGAAGGCCATCAAGCACTTTGAGAGCTATGTCAAATCCTATCTGGCCAAACCGCAGAGCGAGGAGTGGCGTCCCAACATGGACGTGCAGGAGCAGCGTCTCATGCTCTACGCCCACTTCCACATTGGCCGCATCTACTACAAGCTGATCAGTGCCCATCCGCTCCAGCAGCTGGAACACCTCGCCAATTGTCACAAGTACTACAAGCTGTTCGATGCCGGTTGTGAGCTCCACAAGGAGGCAGCCGAGCAGCTGCAGGGAGAGATCGGTGTGGTGCGCGAAATGCTGCAGCTGCTGCCTCTCAAGATAAACACGGTCAAGGCCAGGTTGGGCTAGACCACATTTGTCTTACCCTGATTAAATAATTTCCAAAAAAAGAGTTGCATTTGACACAAGCTTTATAATTAGTCCAAATAAAACGCTTATGCTAGAGGATAGCTTCAGTTTATATTTTGTTATACATATGTGTTTCACAAGCTCATTTTTAAAATATCAATATTGGTAATACTTTGTGAAGTTCTCGCGGGAAAGTTATTAAAAGTAATTAAAAGTTGATAAAACGATAATATTGCTCCGATCGTATATATTTATACCGGTTGTCGGGTGTATCTCATTCTCTATGTTGAAAACTAGCTTTTTTTCTATAATCTAGCTTTTTTTTTCGGCAGCCCTGGCTGCCAGCCATTCACATGCGAACAGCTGTTTTTTTCCAAACAGAAAGAGGAAGAGCGCCGTGAGAAGTTGTTGGCCTGGCCAAATTCAGGGAAAATATAGTTTAATTGCCCAATCTAGACTGCCACCATAGTTTTTAGTTAATAAAAACGATATACTGCTAGTAGGTTCCTCGCAAAATGGCGCACGCCACACCACAGGTAAGTTAGTGAACAAAAAACACGGAGGAAGCTGGTAGCGCGCCGCGTTTCTGTGACGCAATAGCTGCTTTAACTTTCGTAAAGTCCATGGAATAACAAATCGCTTAATCCTCCGGCAGGGCGTCAAGCTGTTAAACGGATGGAAGCGTCCGGGTCGCTTTGACAAGGGTCTGGGTGCCCAGCTGCCCGAGGCGTACAAGAAGTTCTGGCGTGAGTGGAAGCTGACGACTCCGGCCGCCGTTCATTACATCCCCAAGGAGCGCGAATGGGAACGTGACGAGGTGACCCATGCCATCAAGCCGGTCCAGAACATACCGTTGCCACTAATCGACACCCCAGAATCGCACAAGGGCATCTGGGGCGGCGAGGCGGTGATCAAGGGCTTCCAGAAGCGCCAGCAGACGAAGCGTCGGGTGCCGCACTTCTGGGTGCCCAATCTACGACGTTCGGTTGTCCACAGCCATGTATTGGACTCCTACATGTCCGTGGTGGTGACGGAGCGCACCCTGGAGCAGATCCACGAATGCCATGGCTTCGATCACTATCTCCTCAAGAATCGGGCCTGCGATCTTCGTTCTGCTCTGGCCCTGAAACTCAAGCGAGAAGTGCTCCAGGCCCTGCAGAAGGGTGTCCCGGCCTTGGCCGACGAACCCGAGCGTCAGAAGGAAGTGCTGAAGGAGTACAGCCGCTATCTGGAACCGTATTCTGCCGAGGAAATCGATTGGTATGGCCATACCTACCTGGAGGCCATACGCAAGCTGCAGAATCAACTGCGTGAGGCCGAAAAGGTGCTGCCGCATAAGTTGGAGTTCCGCAGCAAGCTAATAGACCAGCTGCGGCAGGCAGGGATCAGTGAGGCGGGAAAGCTGGAGAAGCCCGACGCACTGGCGGGACCTTCAGCCGAGCACAAGGATTCAGACATCGAGGCGCTAACAAAGCTGTAAGTCTATAACGCAAACCGTTTAAGTATATCTTAGGTAAAACAGAAACATCTAAAGATTGGGCGCTTTATGGCCCATTCGGAAAACAGATTTCTGTGTTGCAAGGATAATACTTTGTAAATTGTATAAATCTCCCAACAAATTTATGATTTTTTTTCAGGGAATCCTCGCCCTCTTCCAGTTGGCTGTCCAAGATTAATCCTTTCGGCAAAAAGGAAACCTAGACCAGTAGTTGCCCTCGTTTGTTTTTGATTTATGTGTTTAGTCTCGAAAGAATAAACATAATTTCGAAAAAATTTCGTTGAGAAGTTTATAGTTTAAACGTATTTATTGCAAATATTCGTTAGATTTGGTAAAGTGTATAAAAACAATTAGAATCACACACATAGAACGTGAACGTACGCAGCAAAGTAGAAAAGGAATGATTGCAAATCCCCATGAGATTACAGAAATACATGCACAGCGGTGACAATCGAATCGAATACAGTGATCACTATTCACGCTTAGGACTATGGTTAGTGGATAGCTCCGCAAGCGGGAGCAGAGAGCTTTGTGCCGTATTAAGTCCCAGTCCGGGCTTCCAGGCCCTAGGCAATGGGGTTCTTCTTCATCAACTCGATGTCGGCCTTCATCATGTCGCTGACAAGCTCCAGAAAGCTAACCTTGGGCGCCCAGTCGAGCTCCCGCTTGGCCTTGGAGGCGTCGCCCTGTAGCAGATCCACCTCCGTGGGCCGGAAATACTTTGGATTGATGCGGACGCGTACAACGCCGCTGCTGCTCTCCACGCCCACCTCTTCCACGCCCTTGCCTTGCCACGTTATCTCGCGTCCGATATGCTTGAATGCGGCTTCCACGAACTCGCGCACACTGTGGGTTTCGCCCGTGGCAATGACGTAGTCGGAGGGCGAGTCCCGCTGTAGCATCATCCACATGGCCTCCACGTAATCGCTGGCATGCCCCCAGTCGCGTTTTGAGTCCAGATTGCCCAGCTCAAAGTACTCCATTTGTTTGAGCAGAATCTTGGCCACACTACGGGTTATTTTTCGGGTCACAAAGTTCTCGCCACGTCGTGGACTCTCGTGATTGAAGAGAATGCCATTGCAGGCGTACATGTTGTAGGCCTCCCGGTAGTTGATGACGATCCAAAAGCCATACATTTTTGCGCAGGCTAGAGGTGGAGATGGAATTAAATTCAGATTAAGTGGTAGAGCGAAGCTGCCTTACCATATGGCGACCTGGGATAAAAGGGTGTCTGTTCATTCTGAGGTGTCTCTACCACTTTGCCGTAAAGCTCCGAAGTGGAGGCTTGATAGAACCTCACTGACTTCTCCATGCCACAAGTTCGGATGGCGTCCAGAATGCGAAGTGTGCCCACGGCATCCACCTCTGCCGTGTATTCACTCAGGTCAAAGGAGACCTTCACATGGGATTGTGCCGCCAAGTTGTAAATCTCCGTGGGCTTCACCATATTGATGATCTTGACCAGGCTGCTACTGTCCGTCATGTCGCCGTAGTGGAGCTTCATCCGACCGCCCTTGTGCGCCTTGGGATCGGCATAAAGATGTTCGATGCGTGTCGTGTTGAAGGTGCTGGCCCGCCGGATAATGCCGTGCACCTCGTAGTCCTTCTTGAGCAGGAACTCTGCCAAATAAGAGCCATCCTAGGGTAATGCAAATATTTATTATCTGGCACTTAGAACACGTAAGCAATAGATTGAATGGGATGTCCCACAAACAAACGTGACTAATGCTAATAATTACACACCTGGCCCGTTATGCCTGTTATCAGCGCCACTTTATCACGGGAATCGCCTCCGGCGCCGGCCGCTTTTCCATTTTGGTCCTTGCTCCCGTTGCTGCTACTTTCAGGACGTGGCTTTTTGCTTTCCGGGGCTCCATCGGAGGTGGACATGTTAATTAGCCGGCTTTTTTGCAAGTTCTATTCCCAGTTTCTTTTTTCGCGTCAACTTCGCCCGCAGAATAAACAAATTGTATCTGCAGCGCACTGGTAGAGTTAAAAGAATAATCGGGTTGTTATCGATAAGTCGCGACAGTGGGGCAAGCTCTGAAGGTGTGTGTTTCAATATTAACAAAGGGTAGTTATTATTATTATTGAGACTAACATTTGGAAACAATGTTAAAGAAGATTTAAAAGCCCATTCAGTTGGTAAATAGAATATAACATAAAATTTCAGTTTTAATACTTAGTATTAATATATGATCACATAATATTACTTTCACATTTTACTCGATCCCGAACCATTGTGCGCCAGTGTTGCGCAGCGCCCAAAACCACGTAGCGATTTTTACCGCACACCTTTTAGGGAAAGTTGGACGAAAATAACATAACGTTTGGCAGCGCAGTGGATAAGATACAACCACCCTATATCTTATCATTCCACCTACACTCCCAGACCGATCCGATCCGATTCACCACCGGGCAGCCATCTCTTCTTCGGCTTCAGCATTACGTGTGCGTGAACGTCGGCTTTCCATTTCATTCTTGGATCGGCCGGCTAGCTTGATAACACCGGTGCATAGTGAAATCAGCGGGCACCACTAACTAATTAAGTACGACTGCGACCTCCGTGATAAACAGAAGGAAATTGTCCGCAGCACAAAATGACGGATCTTATCAAGCAGGGAGCTCTTTTCCTCATGAGCGAGAAGTGCTATGATAACTACTTCCTGGATCATAATTTTCTGGACAGTGAGTGGATGCTCGAGTGGAATTGATAGCGATTAAACCCATTAACCCATTAAATTCTCTTGCAGTTCCCTGCTTTAAGGCTTTGCTGAGCAAGGGCCTGGGACTGGCCATTATTGCCGGATCCGTCCTGGTGAAGGTGCCCCAGGTGCTGAAGATCCTCAACAGCAAGTCCGGCGAGGGCATCAACATAGTGGGCGTGGTGCTGGACCTGCTGGCCATCTCCTTCCACCTGTCCTACAACTTTATGCATGGCTATCCGTTCAGTGCCTGGGGCGACAGTACCTTCCTGGCCATCCAGACCGTGGCAATTGCTGTCCTGGTCCTCTTCTTCAATGGGCGCAAGGCCCAGTCGGGGCTGTTTCTCTTGGGATATGTAGTGCTTATGTATGTCCTCAACTCGGGTCTAACACCCATGTCGGTCCTGTTCACCATCCAGAGCTGCAACATTCCCATTCTGCTGGTGGGCAAATTGTCGCAGGCGTACACCAACTTCCAGGCTGGATCCACTGGTCAGTTGTCCGCTGCCACGGTGATCATGATGTTCGCCGGCTCGGTGGCCCGCATCTTTACATCCATCCAGGAGACGGGTGACACTATGATCATTCTCACCTTCATTGCCTCCACCTTTGCCAATTCGGTTATCCTTGGCCAGTTGATCTACTACTGGGATAAACCAGCTGGCGCGGTCAAGGACTCGAAGGCCAAGAAGCCCAAGAGCAAGAAGGATGATTAATCAGGAAGGAGTAGGAGCATATAGAAAAACATAATTGAACTCGAAACTTAGGTTGCCACCACTTCTCGACATTGTAGAACAAATATGCAAAGCTTAAATAAATTGAGTCCTAGTTTATTAGCTTGTCCAGCTTCTCAAAATGCTGCTGCAGCAGCGCCAAGGCTCGATAGCGATGGGAAATGGTGTTCTTCTCCGATTTGGGCAGTTCGGCATAGGTCTTATCGTAGCCCTTGGGCTGGAACACTGGATCCCTGCGGCAAGAGGGGAAAATTTAATTAGTCAGGGCTATTTTATCAGGTTAGTTACGCAAGTGACTCACCATCCAAAGTCCCTGGGACCACGGGGCTCCACGATAACGCCCTCTGTGATGCCCTTGAAGATCAACGGCTCGGCATCCGCACCATCGCAATAGCCAAAGGTGCACACAGCCTGGGCGGATTTGTCCTCCCAGCCGTGGAGCAGGCGGTGTAATCCTTCCGGCTGCAGCTTTTCCAAGAACCACTTGATATACGGTCCCGGCAATCCTTCCAGTGCATTGAAGCACAGGCTGGTGTCCTCAACTAGGACGGGTCCATTCACCTGGCGTGCCGCCTCCTTGCACTTCTTAATGGCTATCTCATCTATGTCACCTGGGGGAGCACAAATAATTTAGGACACCACTTATTCAAGCAGAAGTTTATTATTTACCCTGTAATTCCGGAAGATCAATCTTCTTGGAGACTATTGTGCGCGGGAAACTGGGTCCCAAGATGGCAACCAATTCCTCCAGCTTCTTCGCGTTGCCGGTGACAAAGGTAATTGGTTTCGACATGATCTTATTGTCGCCTTTAATTTAAACAATTACTGACAATACATATGTAATGCGATTTCGAGACTGAAGCATGCGGGTGCTATCAGCTGTTTTTTGTTTAGCTTGGGCGCGAAACCAAAAACAGAGTGGTTATCGCTTAAAAGTTTGCACAGTCGCGGGCACTGCAAAAGGTATTACTAGTCAACTACAATTAAATATACATTATGTATTTCATAGTACACATTTATAAATAATACTAGTTTTGGAGTGCCAACATTGTTGAATTACATTAGTTCGCATTAAAAATCTGCACCTGTAAAAACAATTCACAATTATATATAACATTCCGAACCAAAAAACAGGGTGGTTATCCTTTATAACTCTACTGAAATTGCCAATGGTAGTCAAATACGTATTATTTTTATAAATAAAACTAGTTTCCATTTATATTTTTAACTTTCCAAACCAAATCTATTTTGTGGGACTTTATTTAATTCTTAAGCTTTTCTTTTATTTATCCTTTATTTTCGGTTAAATTTAGGTATAAAACTCTTTAATTAAAAAAAAAGAATACAATTTATTTAAGAGCCTTGACAGTAGCATTTCTAGTTGATTTTCCTTAAAAATGTTCACTTAAATTTAAAGACATAATTTTAATTCATGTGAAGTTTATCTTTTTTTTGTATTTGGGCGACAATGGGTTTCTTGGATGACAAAACTTGTAAATAAATAAACATACACATGAAAACGGTTACAGATTGAGAACGACGTTTTTGGCGCAGTGGTCTAGTCGTCCAGTGTGAGATGCAGATTGGCCGACGGATGCAGGCCGAGTTCCTTCAGGGAGCTGCCATTGTGCTCCGTTTCGAGGGATTTGCGAGGGAAGGCGCAGATGAGTTTGTAGCCTTCCAGAGGGATGTGCTTGTGCGTTTGTCTTATATACAACCTCAGTGTCTGCAGTTTGGTGTCTGAGGGCCAGCGCAGCTGGACCATCTCCTCATCTGTTCCGGCGGCATTGAGCAGGCGCAGCTTCAAGGCAGTCAATTCACTCTTGGCCTCGCCCAAGTGATTCTCATAGGAAGCGGCGGCCACGCCCTTGAGCTCCTCATCATCGAACTCCTCGAGGCTCTCGTTATCGCTGGCTCCCTCGGTGTTATCCTCCTCCTTCTGCGTGCTTCCTCCTCCGCCGTTCTCGTTTATGGAATTCTTGATGGCCAACTCCAGCTGTTCCTCCTCTGTGAGCTCTAAAACTTTGGCCCGTTTCTTGGGGGTTCCTTTAGAGCTGGCCGTCGACGAGCACGAGGCCTCCGGGTCCACTTCATCGTCATCATCGATGTATGTGGCTGATCGCTTTGAGGTGCTGGGTGCATCCTCCTGGATGAAGTCGCGGTGCTCCTTCAGAAACTTCCTCAAATCGAAAAGGATATTCTCCAGCTTCGGCTCTGCACTGCGCCACACTTCCTCGCCTGTACGTGGATCGATCACGCACAGGTAAGGAAGAGTGGCGCAGTGGTAGAAGGCCACAAAGCGCCGTCCTTCCGATGTGTCGTTGTCCACCTGCCAGAAGGTGAACTGGCGCCGAATCAGTTTCTTAAGCTCCTTGTCCGACCACACATCTCGGTTCAAGGTCTGCGACTGGAAATTGTCGTCCTGCACGTTGACCAGCAGCCAGCGCTGCCGTTTTGTGGCGAACTCCCTGGCAGAGGTCAGCGATCCGGAGTAGAGTATGTCTGTGGGCGGGCGGAACAGATCTCCGAGGCGGGATGTGCTGGTAGCCGTTCCCGCTGTGGACCGGCTGTTAAGTGCCATGGCCTGGCCGGCCACTACCATCTGGGCGGCACGTCCGCGTCGCAATCGATGGGCATTGGGATCGGCATAGACACCGGTGGCCTGTAGCTGCTCTTCCATCAGAGCGCCCTCCCGGGCGAAATCCCGGAGCGGATAGACCTTTACCCGCTGAGTGACGCGCGACAAGCGGCTGCTGCTCCCCGACGCGAAGAAGTTGTCATCCTCGGGCAGGATCAGTTGTTCCCTCACCGGGGCAATGGGCGCCCTCACCTCCTCCTCATCGTCTAGCAGGGGAAGCGATGCACCAGCAGCTGCTGCTGCCGAGGATGTGGATGCAGCTGCTCCCGACGCGCCGCCCTGCTCGAAAAACAAAGCCACGGCGGCGGAAACATCGTTGGCACAGGCCCCCAAATAATGTTTCGCCTCCTCTGCAGTGCAGGCGGTTACCTCGACCACCTGCTCCACCAGCGCGTCCGGCGCTTCGCTACTGGACATGTCCTGCTCGAGCGGATTACGGTTTATGCTAGTAGCTCGTCGAGACGTTGTACGAAAAATTCAAGGTAGCGGTTTTCCAGGGACAGATAAAATAAATGCGTCCGCACAGCTGTGAGAAAATACAGTGCTCGAAAACAGTTAGTGGGCAGTGCTGGAAAGCGTCGCTCACAAGGCTTAGGCGTACAGCTTAATTTATTCCAATAATAATTTATTTATTAATTTATTACATTTGGGAGAGAAAAGCTTTTAATTTATTTATTTAAAATGTTATTAGTTTTTAACAAAAAAACAACTCAAATATTTGTTTACTACAAAACCTATTGACAGTGCCAAAAATATTTAATATATTTCTGAAATTTTTAACAAAAATTTTTCAAAAATAATAAAAAAAAACTCAAAACTCGAAGGCTACTATGACGGCTAATTTGCAAATCAAAGATTGATATTAATTTCTGGCTGGAAAAAGTTAATTTGTGACGTCACTGGTCGCCACCTTCTAACAGTAAGCTGTACTCCAATTGGAGCAGTTGCCAAACACTGCTTTCGCCAGTCATCGCGCAACACTGGCCGGGTCAGCAGCAGCAGAAGCAAAAGCAAAAAGACTTTGCGTCTTACGCGAAAATCGAGATAAGATTCGCAACCGAAGGGGTCCGGTCCCAAAACCATGACTAATCCGCGCACCGTTTGATCGGATGTCTTCCCACCCACAAGTGACCGTGAATATGTGAGCGCTGCGAATGGGAAACGGAGAAAATCGAAGCCAGTTCGCCAGCAGTTCGATTCCAATAAGATTCGCGTCGAGTGCAAGAGAGAGAAAAATTGAAAGTGAATATAGTGATTTAAAATATTCCAAGTCCCAGTGCCGTTTTGCCTAAAGCCCAATGATTTTTGAGGGAGTTATGCTGCGCGGAATAAGTTGAACTATTCAACCCGGTTGCCCAGTTGTTTATTTGTTGTTGATTTGTTGTTGCACGCTGCTGACGTCGCAAGATGGTCTCGCTGATAAAGAACCAACTGCTCAAACATTTGTCCATGTAAGTGCATAATCTGGGCCAGAAAATCGAATTATGAAACCCAATTAACTGCAGTTGGGGAGGAAATAGATTTCGAAGTGGAGAACTTGGAGACGCAATTGATTTTTCCCACTTTTCCGCATTCTGTGTATGGCTATGTGTGTGTATTTCTCACAGCTTCCCACCCACTCGGCTGGTACCGTTATTCCACCTGTACTGGCCCGCTTTTTATGCCTTCTTTATCGTTTATCGCTGTGATGGCCCCATGCTAATTCGCTTACCTCCCACCACCCCCGTTGTTCAACCCACTCCGCCCCTTTTAAAGTAACAAGTGGATAGATGGCCAATTCCCACCCACATACCTATAGTCTTTTTTCTCCCCATCCGTTTATGTTCTTTTGGCCGGCGCCGCATCGTCGTCTCTGCGAAATCGGATTCCCCGTCCGCCAACTCATTTCCCATCCCTTTGCAGCATTTGCATGTGAAATCCAATTTTCCGTCTTGTCCTCGCCGCAATATGGTTTACTTGTCGGTTACTCGATAACCTTGCCAAGAAAAAGGGGCTTTTACGGCTAAGAGGCGCCCGCCATATAAACAGAAATATGCTTACTTGTTTATTTACAATTATAAGTTACGCTCCGCAAGGGGGTTCCCAAATTGTTTATTCAGGTTATTACACATACACTACAAAAATAAAAAATTAATGTTATTTTTAAACTGGGGGAGAGAAATAAGTTTCCATATTATGCTCAGATAAATAGTTAAATAAAACAGAAGCTTCAGTATTTAAAAAATATTTAAATTTAATCTTACAATTAAATAATTATTTTCAATAACTTATTTTAGAACTCAAAACAAACTTAAAACGTTTTATTTTTTGTTTTGAAGATACATAATAAAATATAAAAACGTACAAAACTAATATTTTAATAATTATACCGAAAAACGTTAGTACTCGAACACAAAGTCTCAAACGAAAATTACCAGCTCAGAAATATATAAACTGTTGACCTATTTGTTATGTGCACCGAAAACAATTGAAATCAATGCTATATAAAATCTTTGATTCAATTGAGAGAGTTTAAAAAGTATCAAATAAATTTTTGATACTTAAATAAAAATAGTATTAATGATCTAAAATGTATACCTCTTCAATTTAGAAACTAAACTACAATAAATGGATTTTATATTATTGAAGCTTTGTAATTTTTTTTGTTTTGTTGGTGTAGTTTATTAACATTGTTAATTAGCTCTCAAGTGCGGTTCCAAAACTTTCATTTTCATGCTCAACTCTAGGCATTTATTTTTTATATCTCTCCCCACGCATGGACTTTAATATGTCAAGTCCTGCCACCTGCTTAAACAAAGGAATGTTTACCCGTATATATGTACACACACACACATTGGCTTTGTCTTGGCCCCTTTGTGGATGTCTTTTGTGAGCCATTTGCCACCTTACCCTTCATTCCGCATCCACCTGGCTCCGTTCTGTTCCACGCAATTAGGCTGCAAACAAGCCAAGTTTATAACATAACGCGCCCCAAGTGTAAATGCAAAGCAAACTTGTTGCCCCCAAGTTGTTGTGAAGGTAAAAGTTAAAGAAAAGCTTTTTATTTGCCCCACCGAGCTGGGAGTTATCATTTTTCTTTGCCATAAAGCTGAAAAGGTAGCTAACCTGATCGGCATTTGTAATTGTCGAGGGTATTGGGATGAAGAATTCTTAAAGCCAAGGAAAAAGTTGTTAAGTAACAAGTGGTGGAATTCCGCTTCCGTGGACTTTTCGCCACTTTGAGCCAATCAGTGTCTTCATTTCGATTTCAA